ACACAGGAACGCCAGAAAGACTCTCTTAGCTGAATTTAAAAAGTTGAACTCTCTGGAGGATATTTGTAAATGGTTTTCTTAAGTAAACAAATGAGTTTTCTTTTTCCTTTAACCACCTCCACAAAAGACTCATGATTTACTGGTGTTTGTATTTTTTATGTGGGTTTTTTTTTGGGGGGGGGAAGGGGAGGAATTACTTTTTACAGAGGGAGTAATGTGCTTATCCCTTCTCCCATTCTTTTTAATAACTTGTTTCAGTTCAGTCTGTCATAAAAATTACACAAAATTAAGAGCAGCAAGAAACACAGTGAAATCCTGCACTCCCACTATTCTAAACTTACTGATATCCGTATTCTAAACTTACTGGTATCTGTGACAGAGTGGCTGTTTCATGAATATGCGGGTATGGGTGGCATCTGTTAAATGTCACACACCATCACGTACTTTGTGTGTACTTACTTAGAGCACAAAGGCCATCTGTCTTGAGCTCTCTCATCCATCTCAAAAATCTCTCACAATCATGGTGGTTCCCCTTCCCAGGGGAGTCTGAGCCTCTGACACCCTCCCCCCCACCACCACCACCCTTGACTCCTTTGCAGCTTCTTTCTTATGTCACCCTACTCTCCAAATGCCTCTCCATGCAGCAGTTCTATCCCCAAACATTCTGGACACCTCATTTTGAATATTTTTTTTAACTTTCCACCCTCCCAAATCTATTATCATCCAATTTGCTCAAAGGTTAAAAAGGGTGTGGACTCAAATGCCCTTTGAGTCTTACATTTTTTAATCAGTTGTAATCTTTCTTCCTCATGAAATCAAATTACCTGTTATTTTTTAATCAGTGGTTCCCCTAGATTTTCTGATGATCTTGATCAATTCTTCCTCTAGCTTGGTTTTTTTTTTTTTCATTCTTAGTGGCTAGTTATTTAGTTTACTTACTGATGTAAATTCTTCCTACTCCCCAAAATGACCTCCTTCCAAAATATTAGGTTACAGCTTACCTATCTCTTCTCTATTCCTCAGTCCCACTTACTATTCTGTCAATGACTCCTAATGCAGGATATATTCCCCTGATATGTATTCAGTGATCTTGGCACGTTTCTATCATGATGCCCTGCCATTAATTGAAGTCCCAAACCGTTCCCCCTCCAAAACTTGCCTATTTGCCTACTTCCCTGACTGAGAGGCTAAACATCTATCCTTTCTTATCACTCACTGCTCACTGTAACAGGGTGGTCCCTAGGAAAGGGGGAAGTTCCAGGTTCCCTGCCCCACCCTGAAGTAGGGTGGAGCTGAGCAGAGAAAACAAAAAAGAGGAGTCTGTAGAGAAGGGGCAGAAAGAAGCAGGATGGCCCAGAAGGAGACCTGAGGAAGCCACATGGAGCAGCAAGCATGTGATGAAGAAACTGTGCTTGTTTCTTGGCCCTGGTCTGGTTAAGGCAGATGTGGGTGAGATCCCTGTAGGGAGGTGACTATGGCAGTGTTTATATTGATTTTGATTTTGTTCTTTTCCTCCCAGATTTGTCTGGCCATTTCTAACCCTTTTCTATGGGTCCTGGCCAGAAGGTGCTTTAGTCTTGTGGCAGCTTTCAGGCCTTGCTTTGAACCAGTCCCTTTTGGGTGGGCTTTTGCCCACGAGGGGATGGGTAACTTCAGGTGTCTGATTTAGAAATTATATTCTTTTTTGTTTTGTATTCTCACTGTATTAAGTTTCCTTTTAATTAAAGTCTTGTATATTTTGTCTTGATGCGGTTGATGGCAGAACCGATTTGGAGCAGGCAGGTTTGGGGTTCAGTGGTGTCCCTCTCTCCCTACCCTGTTAACAAAACCAGTTTACAGACACTGTCAATTTGTAACTGGGTGGTCGCTAGGAGAAGGGAAGTTCCAGGTTCCCTGCCCCACCCAGAAGGAGGGTGGAACTGAGCAGAGAAAAAGAGAGAAGAGAGAAGGAAGGCAGATGGAGAAGGAGGAGACCTAAGGAAGCCACATGGAGCAGCAAGCCTGTGAGGAAGAAGCCATCCTTGTTTCCTGACCCTGGACTGGTTAAGGCAGATGTGGGTGAGATACCTGTAGGGAGGTGACCATGGCAGTGTTTATATTGATTTTGATTTTGCTCTTTTCCTCCCAGATTTGTCTGGCCATTTCTGACCCTTTTCCATGGGTCCCGGCCAGAAGGTGCTTTAGTCTTGTGGCAGGCTTTCAGGCCTTGCTTTGGGCCAATCCCTTTTGGGTTGACTTTTGCCCACGAGGGGATGGTTAACTTCAGGTGTTTGATTTAGAAGTTATATTCTTTGTGTCCCATATTGTATATTCACTGTATTAAAGTCACTTTCCATTAAAGCTTTATATATTTTGTCTTGTTGCGGCGGATGACAGAACCCACTTAGAGCAGGCAGGTTTTGAGGCTTCAGGGGTGCCTCTCTCTGAATTGAGGTGCCCTATAACAAATTCATTAATTCTATCCTATCAATTCCTATTGCTCTAACTCCAGCTAGACCCCCATTCACATCTGAAAGTCTCTGAACAGCCGTGTCGAGTTTCTGTTCCCTGTAAGCTACCCAACACAACTTCCCAGCTCAAACTGCTCATTCACAACTACTTTACATACACCCTGCTCTTGCTCAAAGTCTTTCATAGATTCCTCATTTCAACAGAATAAATACTAACTCCACTCTACTCCCGGCCTTCCCCCTAAACTTACCGAGCGCTCTCCTACCCCATTTCCACTTTTCATTTCTCTATACCATTTCTGCAGCCAAATATGAGGTATACTTTCTGTGTGCCCTCTGTCAACATGTCCGCTCTCTCTAGGAAACCTTCCAAATTTCAGCTTGCTGCCTTTGCTCATAGAGCTCTTTGCCTGGAATGTCTTTTCTGGTCCTGGCTTATTTAAAAATCCCTCCTATCCAAGGCCTCAGCTGAAATGCATCATTGTCATGAAATCTGTTTCAGTTGCCTGGCTTTCCCAAGCCTCCTCTGAACTTCTCTAGGGGTTTCCAGGCGAGCTGCTTGTCAGGGCTTAATGCAGATGGAGTGTGCCTGTTTCCGTCGAAGTTGTCACTTCCGTCTGATATGGATGCTTGGTGGTAGGGCCTCTGTCTTCTATTTCTGCACAGGGTGTGCATAAACTCCTAGCCATCAATTATTTTATTAGTTTACAAATTGCAGATGGTCTTAATGACATAACACGTTATCTGCATGCTGAACTTGATGGGTGTGTTTATCTTCCCAGTAGGCTAGGTTGCACATGGTAGGCGTTCCAGTGGGTAAATCATAATTACTTAATGCCAACGTATTCTATGTGGTGCCCTAGGATGATTAAAGCAAAAATGTAATGACAGAATTTGAAGAAATGGTCAAAATGTGGTCAAAAGGAGACACTGGGTCTACTTTTCCCAGTAGATTCCTATTTTGTTACTGTTAAAAGACCGTCTCCACCATCCCTGCATAACTGTTCACTTAGTTATTTTCCAGGCTAAACTCTAGACCATAACTTCTTGTTCCCTGCTGGCACTAAGTGCAACTATAGCACCTTACATTCTGTTGTTTCTGCTTTGTTCTTATCCTATTTGTGACGCTGAACTTCTCAGCACAAGAACTGTGTCTTGTTTATGCACCAGTAATGATTTAACAATTTGTGTGAATGATAGATAATAATCACATAGAGCATCTCAGTGCTTACTATCTGCTAAGCCTGCAGTAAGCACCTTATTCTTTCATTGCAGTCCTTCCTTTGGGGAAGGTATCCTGTTGCCATCATCTCAGACAGGAAAGACTTGGAATAGTGAATTTGCCCAAAGTCAAAGGGTGTGTGACTTAACTCCAGGCCAATGTGATAGACTGTTGCTACATGAAATGAACAATGAATCTTACCACCTCAGTGGGACAGCTTCTCTTCTGTCAGTTGGAATAAGGAGGTTGGGCTTTAGTGTGAAATCATCTATTGAGTTCGCACCCCAGTGGCATAACCTCAATTACTGAACTCATAAAACTTCTGTTTCCACATGTGAAAAAAAGGGATTTAGAACCTATTCCATAAAGGTGCTTGGGACTAAATGAGAACATACATGAAACACTCAGTGAAGGCTCCATCCCTTGACATCAGAGTCCTAGTCCCTTAAACAGTTGTCGCACAGACACTTGGGGACTCATCTCACCACCTCTTCCTTACACTTCTACAGTGCTGCTGCCTCAGCTGATTTCAATTCTTCCTCTTCCTGTTTTTTGTTTTTTTTTTGGATAACTATACTTGGTCCTAAGTGATCTTCTGTTCCTGAGAACCTCTGTATCTGCTATTCATTCCACATGGAGTGATCTCTCTTCTTGGCAACCCCCACCTCACCTATATATCCTTGTCCCTTTCTTCTTTCCCTCTCTGCCTCTTAATCTCAGAAACATCACTTCACTTATTAATATTCATTAGTTTTTGCAAGGATTTTATTTTTCCCAGTCATTGTATGTCATCAGAATGACAGACTTGCTTTACTGCACGAATCCCTTGAACTCATTCCATTTTGTTGTAAATGGCAGTACATCACCTTCACCTATGGCTGGGCAGTGTTCCACACCACATCTTCTTGTCCACTCACCTATCACAGACACATAGTTTGCTGTAGAGCTTTTAAAAAGGAACTCGGAGGGGCCCTCCCTGGTGGCACAGCAGGTTAAAGCACTGCACTAAGAAGATTAAGACACTTCCTCATGAGTTCGATCCCTGCCTGCCCTGGAGGAGATCCACATGGCGTGGCAGACCTCTCCTGACCCGCCCGCTGCTCCTCTCAGCAGTGTACTTCGTCGATCTGTCTGTTCTGCTCCCCACTCTGTCTCTGATGAAGCCTCTCATCGCCCCTGAGCCTCTGACCTGTACCCCAGTTCTGTATGCACAAATAAATCTTTAAAAAAAAAATATTGGTGAGTTTTTGTACCAGCTAATCTAGTGTAAAAGGTAGTGTACCTTGACGTTCACATAGTAATAAAGGATGACTCCTGTTTTATCAAAGTCATGATACATAAACAGCTCCATTTTATTTCTATTCTGCATAATAACAGGTCCTGTATATTTAAGAGTTTATCTCATCCATCTAGGAGCTTCAGACTTCACCCTATTAGTTGGGCAGACTTATCAAATATAACATTCAGATTAAAATAAAAATATTTCTCTGCAGTGGAAAAACTTGGATGTAGTGTTCTCCATGGGATGCCACTCACAGACATACATTTAAGATACAAAATAATCATTCACGGTAACTTGGGGCTTTAAAAAAACACACTTGCTTTCTATTATTCTCCTTTTCTTCACCCTCATACCCTGCTGTCCTGAGAACAACTTGGATATCAGTTGTGCTTTGGTGACTTGCTTAGAACACAGATCCTATTGAAAGATAGAGCTGAAGAAATAATTAGAATTGGACACAGGAGCGTATCTTGTTTGTCAAAACAAAAATAAGAATCCTTTAGAATTTATCAAGGCAGTACGCTGAGAGTCTTTTTACTTTGTAAGGGAAATATGACACAACGACAGCTTTAGAACAAGCTAACATGACTATGACTCAGGCATGTGCAATGGTCCAGTTCAGTAGGACATAAACAACTCAGACGAATGGACCATGGGCCAGAAACTCAAGTTACAAAATAATAGTCAATATTACAATTAGTACAGGTAAGTAGATAAAAACCATTACTTTCAGATACAGCACACTTAAAAAACATAAAACTTTATACAATAATTGAAATTATGCATTTCTACTCAGATTACCAGAGCATATTACAAGCACACACAAGCCTAAAAAGTTATGGTCACATTTTGGTTTTGTTCCAGTGATTCGTGATCACGTGAAATGTCACATCCATTTTGTGTGAAATAAACATTTGGCTGAAGTACAATTGCTGCTGGGATAAAAATATTTCCAAAAAAATGTTTAGGCTAAAATAATCCCAAACATGCTCATGTCTGGGATTATTTTGACAGTCCTTAGGGAGCATTCTAAGGAATTATAGTTAGGAAATTTCAGTGTATTTTGTCTATTTGTTTTTTTTAAACATGAGTAAACAAATACTGGATTTAAAGTGCAGCTTCTTTCTCCTCTCCCTTCGATTCTCTACATCCTACAAGATCAGTCCTGTATTTATTTTTAGAACCGCCATGGAAAGCTGGAAACAAATGAGGGACTGTCAAGTCTGTTTGTCTCGAAAGTCAGTGATGGCCTTCCACAGTGTACAGAGCATCCCGCCCCTGTTGAAAGACACAAAAACAGGGTGAAAAGAGTGAGTCTCCAAAACACTGTCCTTGAAATAGAAATGTGCCCTGACCCTAACCTTGAGGATCCCAAACTCTTATCAGTCATCATGTAGCCTTTTTATGTTTTTGTGTATTTCTCATCAATCCTCCACATTTTTCCTGTCCTCTCCCACAAACTACCAGTCTCAAAGCACCATTTTGGATTTTCTGCATTTTTGAAACGTGCCTTTAGATGGGCGGTTGTCATTTTCATGTATATGTTTGGCCTAATGGAAAAAACTATTTGTCATAAGAAACTACGTCAGAGTAAGGCAAGTATTTGGAAGGTAAATCAGTACCTCATCGTATTTCTTCAGGTGCCTCTATTACAAACTATACTTGAGCATTTAAGTTAAGGTGGCATTAGAATATCTGCATGATTTTAGGCTGTCATTCTTCCAGTTGATTTGCATTTTTAATATAGAAATACTGTGTATTAGAGCATCCCAGTAATAGCCTGGTCCTACTAACTGGTGTATTCAGAGCAACTGAGAACCCAACAACTCTGTTCTGGATTTAGAGCTAGTTAGGGACTCAGCCAGCACAGGAACTCAGATTTCTTTATCTCAGCCACTATGCTTTCCATGATAACAAATAAAGAGTAAGCAAAGTAGTACCTTAGTCTCAAGCATTTTAAATCATCCCGTGTAACATAGTAGAGAACATCCATCAGTGAATAATCCTCAGCCAAAAACTGTGGAGAGAGTAAGTAAAATATGCACAAAATTAGATGGTTTATTGCCTTCCAAAAAGCAACTTTGTCCATCATGTTAACTTTGGCAATAATTAAAACTGAAAATAAAAGGAAATTCATTAACAACAGACACTTCTGGAATCAAGGCAGTCTTTCTTATTATAAAATAATTACAAGAAAATATATGCATGACTTCCAATTATAAAGATTACAAACAATACAGAATTTCGGAATGGTTTTCTAATGAATAGGTAAGATTCATTTGTAAATACAGCTACAATTCTTTAGGCATTATCTGTATTAAGAGATTTGGTACTATATAGTTTTATTTTTCTCAAGTGGATAAAAAAATGTTCTTGGAAAGATATTGCCTACATTTAATATTTGAACTTTTTAAAAAAGATTTATTTATTTATGCATACAAGACTGGGGTACAGGCCAGAGGTGTGAGAGATAAGAGGATTCACCAGACATAGAGTAGGAAACAGAACAGAGTGAATGACTGAAATACACTGCTGAGGGGGGCAGATGGTAAAACAGAAATCTGCTGCACCATGTGGGTCAGCTCCTTGGCTCGGGATCAAACTCTTGCATCAGTGGCTATGGAAAGCTTTGCATTTTAACCCCTTGTAACACCAGGGGTGCCTGAACTTGATTTTTATGGCTAATAAAATGACTACAAAATCAGAGTTCTGAATATAGACTGAAGTTTTTATTATTTTTTAAAGATTTGTTTCTTTATTCATACAAAACTAGGGTACAAGCCAGAGGTGAAGAGGTGGTGAGAGCATTCACCAGAGACAGAATGGGGAGCAGAACAGGCAGACTGATGAAGCACACTGCTGAGGGGAGCAGCAGGCAGCCAGGGGAGGTCTGCGGTGCCATGCAATCAGTAATTTGGCCCAGGACTGAACTCGTGCAAGTCCTGAAGAGGCTGAGATAGCTTCGCAGTGCTGTGCTTTAACCCGTTGCCTCACCAGAGAGAGCCTGAAGTTTTTATTTTTTAATCTAATAAAAAGATGATGATTCAGTAGCTCCTCAATTACGTTATTGTGATTTACATCTAAGAGGAATAAATATTTTGGAAAACTTGATTGAGTTTGGATCCACAGGCAAGAAAGTTGTTTAAATTTATTGACTAGTAACTTATCAAATGCAATTTCTAAGGAGATCCTTAATTTCAGTTAGTGGTCTCATAAATGATGAATTCAGGTGAAAATACAATTTTAGCCTTATTTTAAAAACTTAAATATAAAACTGAAATCATTGGATACTGTGCTAGGAAGCCCTTTCTATAAATTAATACATAACTTCAGTGTCTATCTGTGCATACATACCTTTAGCTTTAAAACATAAAATAATGCCATCATACTGATTACAAAAATCTATGAGGACTTCAGAGGAATTAGGCTATAAAGATGTAAGATGAGTTATACCATCTGATTCTTTCCTAAATTCACTAATAAATCTATTTTACTATTTAGCAATAAACAGTTGTTGCCCTGTAGCATTTCAAAATGTTGGCAAAGAATTACAGCAACACATGTATAAAAATGAAAGTTCTTTGGATAAACTTCATTATAAAAATAAAAAATTTCAAGCAAATGAAAATTATAAAAAAAGATTATCTTTTCATTTTATTTTGATTTTTTCCACTGTTCCCTTTTTTTTTTTAATTAAAGAACATGAAAATCCTTAGGTCCTTTCTAGTCACAGCACGTGTGACGCACTGCCTCTGACACTCTGCAGTCCCACCCCGCTGACAGCCCCCTAAGCTGCACACTCTCCAAACTGCATAAAAGCGGCCTCTTTTATTCTGATGTATTCCTATAAGCCTCAGCCAATTCATTAGCTTCTCAGAGAATGTTCCCACCTCTCCCTCTGCTTCAGAACCTTTCCAGCATAGGATTTGTCAAGGTCTAATTCTACTTTACCTGTGGACCGAGCTGATGGCTATCTTACCCTACTTTGGAAGACTCAGGAGGGAAGGGCTGGATGGTGTCGTCCACCCATGGGCCCAGTGCATAGCAGGTGCTCAATACTATGAAATGAAGTGAAAGAAAGCTTATCCCATAGGTAGTTATCTTTACCCGACTTATAGTGTCCTCATCAGCTCCATTTTCTCTCAACCAGTCAGTAAGTTCAGAATCTTCAGTATTTGTGCCAGAAGAATGTAGGTGACTTAGAGACAATCCGGGAATATCTAAGACAGAATTGGGGTGGGTGGCATGCTTAGGCTCATTTGACACAGTTTATCTGAGACTCCTCCAGTCAAAAGAAATTATTGATACATTAAAATATTTTATCAGAAAAAAAAAACAATTGAGAATGGCAGTTTAAGTGACCTATAACTAACACTATTTAAAGACTAGTTAACCAGCTAATAAATGGAGCGTCAAGGAATAATGCAGTGATATTCCCGTTTCATACTTTATATAATTTTATTTCTTAAATACTCTGTGCTCGAAACTTATACATGTACAGGTAAGCATAGCTAGCATAAGTGTATTATTAAAAATTTTCCCACTATTGGTAATAGAGAAAAGATGTATATTGGAACAAAAAAATTACATTTATATAATTAAACTGAATTATATTTTCCTCTAACTTAGCAAAATAAAAATTGCTTAGTGCTTTACTTTAACCCACTGCTCCACCAGAGAAGGCCCGAAAATAAAACTTTCTATAGATTATGTTCACCCCCAACTTCTAACAGAATAGATTTCATTAAAGTTCTGGATCTCTTCCTTAAAAAAATTGAGCTCTAAGTAACATGTAACATTTTATTAGCTTTTGGCATCTATGACTTATTACTTGTTACTCTATTATATTTAGGCATTGTCAAATTATAAGAGGAAAAAAAACTAGGACAAACAATACAATGCAAAATGGAAAAAATAAGATTAAGATTCTAGTAATCTTAAAAATAAAGACAAAATACTGGAAAGCTTTAGTTACCTCAAAAATATATACCTGAGACTCTCCTGCACTGCTTGTGGGAATGCAAACTAGTACACCGCTATGGAAAACTGTTTGGAGGTTCCTCAAACTGCTAAACATGGAGCTTCCCTATGACCCAGCAATCCCACTCCTAGGTATCTACCCAAAAGACACAAAAACACTGATTAAAAAAGATACCTGTACCCCATGTTTATTGCTGCTTTATTTACAATTGGAAAACCATGGAAGCAGCCCAAATGCCCAAAAGTAGATGACTGGATAAAAAAGATGTGGTACATATATACAATGGAATATTACTCAGCAACCAAAAAAGAGAAACACATGTCTTTTGCAGCTGCTTGGATGGAGCCGGAAAAGATCATGCTTAGTGAGATAAGCCAGAAAGAGAAAGAAAAATACCGGATGGTTTCACTCATAGCAGGAGTATAATGGACCAGGCGAGAAAATAACAAAAATAATGAACAACCATATACCAGAGACATTTTGGGGGGGGTAGAGTGGGGAATGGGATCAAAAACGGGGGGGAGAGAAATGCATGGGATTATGGTGATGGCACACGGGTGATTTGGTGATGGGAAACCCGCGGGGATTACAATCGAGATGGAAAAAAAAAATGTACGAAATGATGTCAAAATAAACTTTTGTAATAAAAAAAACTGTCAAAAAAATATATACCTGAGAAAACGATGGGTAAGTCATCTCATTTTCACTGCACTTTGCTACAGGTAAGAATCGGATATTTTTTAAAAACAATCCCTACTTGTAATTGTGGTACAAGTGACATATGCTGATTAAGCCATGAAATAAAACTGCCTGTCAGCTTTCCCCTTTAACATATTCTGTTATTCACCTATTGGTTGAGACTTAAGCTTCAGGTGTTTAATTTCTTGGTCTTTTTCTTCAATAGCTTGATGAAGGAGTGCTTGTAGTTCTTTCTCTTTCTGAACCAATTCTTCCAGTAATCTGCAGAAGAAGATCACACTGGTTGACAGGATAATAAAGCTGGAACTGACACCGAGTGATTTTCTGATGTGTGTTTCTAAAGCTGTAAGAATCATGGATACCCGGGATTTTAATGAAATGCAGCTTCTGGTCTATAGCTCTGTGGGGGAGGCAGAGAGTCTGTACTGCTAATGAGCTCCAGGTGGTATTCCTGGTGTTAGCCCATAGACAGAATAGATCTCATTAAGATTCTGATCTGACTTAAAAATTGAGCTCTAAATGACATATAATGTTGATTAGCTTTTTGGTGTATGCAAATATTAAAATTTTTTTATCAGAAAAAACAATAAAACAATTGAGAATGGCAGTGTAAGTGACCTATAACTAACACTATTTAAAGACTAGTTAACCAACTAATAATTAGAGCCAAGGAATAATACAGTGATATTCCCATTTCATACTTTTATAATTTCTTAAAATACTTTGTGCTCAAAACTTGTACATATAAAGATGAGCATAATTAGTACAATAGCTAGTTATTGAATAGCAATATCGAATCTTTCAATAACTTTCAATAAATAGCTTTAATGAATCTTTCATTATTGAATATTGAAAAACTAGTTATTGAATAGCAAAGTTCTAGAAGACCTCATGCTTCCAGACAAAAGACAAAGTCTCCATTATAACTATCTGCAAACTCTTCAGTGACACTGTTCCATTGTTTCTTTTTATGAGCTTAAATGGTATTTACACATATGACCCTTCATCAAAATAGTCCTGGTTAATCAATACAGGTTTTGTAATACAAAGTAGAAAGGTAATCATTTTTTTTTAAATACTGAATAATTTCACTCACATGTGGTATATATAGTAAATGAATGAACTAAAAACAAACAAACAAAAAAACCCTTTAGTCTATAAAACTAATTGGTGGTTCCCAGAAGAGAAAAGACGGAGGAAGGGAAGGTGGATATATTGGGTAATTGGTGTCAGCTGTGTGGTGAAGGGCAGCATTGGTCTTTAGTGGTAGTATATATATGAATGCAGATTTTTAACAATAGATACCTGAAACATATATAATGTTAGAATGCAATGTTAATAAAAACATTAAAAAGAAAAATTGAGAAATACTATAGGCAAGGCTGTCTATGTTCCTGTAAAATAACCCTCAAATATTAATGGTTGTTGGTGGGGTGAACTGTAGTGCTTATTCTTCTCCCTTGCAAGTGGGACTGGAGTGGATAAAGTTTAGGATAGCTATGTTCCTGATACATTCATTTCCTATTTGGTATTAGCTGCATTCTCCAAAGAAACAAGAACAAACTAAGATATTTATACCATAGTTCTTACCCATGAAAATGATGGAAACTGAGAGTAGAAAAATTTAGGATGGAAGGTCTCATAAGGACAAACATCAGAGAGTGAGGTAGGGATGATTAATAAATTTTTAAATTTGGCCAAGGAAGTTTCCAGAAATCTGAGGTGGGATCACACTAGTTTATCAGCCAGAGGTGGGGCAGAGAAGATGATCCATCGTGGAAGACCAACCTAACCTAACCCCAAGGTGATAATTTCCACAATAATTCCATCCAAGAACACCATAAAAGAACACCCTTCTGGTAAAATGCAGTTCTTGTCTTATAAGACGGCCCACTTGTGTCCATACAGGTGTTTTTTGTTTTGTTTTGTTTTTCCTTTTCTTATTAAATTTGCCTTGTGCTGGAGAATGGGAACATCTGCTGAATTCTTTTCCAAAATGACCCAAGAATCCCACCATGGATCATCATCTGAACCCCAATGAAAGGCTAACTTACACTCGGAGCCAGCTGGTGACCTACTAGCCACTACTGACACGTTTCTCTAAGAAATATTCCAAGTTATGAGGAGAGATGTTCTGACTTTTTAAAAACTTTTTAAAAACCTTTATTTATGCATACAGAAGTGGGGTGAGGCAAGAGGTGGAGGGGGTGAGAGAGGATTCACCAGAGACAGAGTGGGGAGCAGAACAGGCAGATGGATGAAGTACACTGCTGAGGGGAGCAGAGGGTGAGACAGGAGAGGTCTGCCACGCTCTGTGGGTCACCTCCAGGGTGGGGATTGAACTAGTGCTGAAGCAGCTGCAGCCAGCTTGCAGTACTGTGATTTAACCTGCTGCACCACCAGAGAGGGCCCTAGAAAACTATTTTTAAAACTATTTTTATGTCTCTATTATAACAAGAGACATAATAAGTTTATTAAGATAAATCTGTACATCCTACAGTCCTTCACAGTCAGTGTTTGTTTCATTTTCTGGTTATTAGTGGGTTTAACTCCAGACCCGATTTCAGTCCAAAAGTCTGTTTCCACCTCAGCTAAGCTGTTTTGAAGGCATGGCGCAACTGAGAAGCCCTTGGCTTGCCTCCCGGTCAGCCATGTACTTCCTGTGTTTACTCTGACAAATTACTTAACACCTCTGAGCTTCAGTTTTCTCATTTATAAAAAGGAAAAGTAAGACTTCCTGAAAGGGTTACTGTAAGCGTTAAATGAGACAACACATAAAAAGTGCCAAGCACGGTGCCTGACCTTTAATAAGAGTGATTCTATTCTCTATGGCAATTTCAGGAGGTCCTGGAAAAGAGCTTCCCAGAACCCAGCAGGGATTTCTTCCCTGATCCCACGCTCCATCCCTTATCACAGGACATAGTGATGTGATGTTCTTTAGTGGGAGAAAGGATCAGCGAAGAAGAGGAAAACTAGAGAGGCAGCCAGAGAAGGTGGTTTGGGAAGATAGGTTATTGAAAGACACCTGCAGAGTAAGCAATGAGTACTCAGGTGAGTTATACAATAGGAAAAGCAAGAAAGAAGGAAGCAGAGGATTAGAGACTCTTTATTTTAAGATTTTGTTTATTTATGCATACAGAAATTGGGTACAGGCCAGAGGTGCAGGGGCAGTGAGAGGATTCACCAGAGACAGAGTAGGGAGCAGAACAGGCAGATTGACAAAGGACACTTCTGAGGGGCGCAGCGGGCGAGACAGGAGAGGTCTGCCGTGCCATGTGGGTCAGCTCCAGGGTAGGGATCGAACTCACACTGAAGTGGCCATGGCTTAGCTTAGCTTAGCTTTACAGTGCTGTGTTCCAACCCACTGCAACACCAGGGAGGGCCTGAAGGAGACTTTTATATACTTCAATAGGAATTATATTCAAAGAAATGGCTCAGTATGAGTCTTTTTTTTCTTTTTTAAGCTTTATTTGTTTATGCATAAAAGAACTGGGGGACAAGCCAGAGGTGCAGGGCTTGACAGAACTCCCCAGAGACAGAGTGGGGAACAGAACAGGCAGACTGAAATACACTGCTGAGGGGAGCAGTGGGCGAGACCAGAGAGATCTGTGGTGCTACCTGGACTAGCCCCGTGGCCAGGGACCGAACTCCTGCTGCAGTGGCCGTGGAGAGCTTCATAGTGCTGCGCTTTAACCCCCTGCACCACCAGGGAGGACCCTAGTATGAATCTTTAAGTTGGGGACTTTTTAAATCTCGTATATATTTTTGTCTTCCTTGCTAGTTTTCACGTATGAAATAACGATAACGCAATCTTATTTAACCTATCTTTATCTAGTCGGTATGTTTCCTTGTTCTCTTTAAAAGTCAGACCTTAAATTAGAAGCTAAGTAATGGGAGGCCACCTAATTCATCCCAAATCCAGCTCTTAGAATTATTTACCATGAGGGCAAATCCAATTCATCAGTTTTATTTTTACTTTGTCTTCTGTTGGTGGGGGAATTACCCGACTTTCTGTTCAAGAAAAGTTTTGCAAGGATCTGTCACGAGGTCAATTTTTTTTAGTTTGCAGGGTGGGGCAGAGAGGCAGGCTGGTGGGTAATTCCAGAAATTCAGGAAAGGGAAATAAGATAACTAGTCAGTTCTGCCTGTGTTGGATTTTAATAATGTCCCTTTATTATTGACCCAACTTCTTGTGAGACATGAGCTATTCCTAAAACATTTTATGCAAGTATATACTTAAATATTGGTAAGATATATACATTCTATAGCCATGCTATTATTTTATGCTATTCAGTATTAATGATGTGTAATAATCAATAACTGGATAAAGTCTAAGTTACCTACAATATATGAGGGTAGCAACCTTTCCTAAAAGCACTCTCATATTTTCTCTTAGGTTTATTTTGCAATTTATTTATTTAAGACATATGTCTATATGTCAAGTAATATTCAGCTGAAAATGACAAGAGCCATGACCTGACCAAGCCCTTTTCCCACTGCTCAGCATTCATTCTAAAGCAGCTGCCTTTCATTCTCATGTTCAGCTCACTTTTCTGTGGTTGATGGCGAAATTGTTAGGGGGGAAAGGATGTCGTGAAGGAATTCTGCAGAGTTCTGTGGACTCTACCCCCTACTCCAGTAAACTACAACTCCCAGCAATATCACTGAGAGAACTGCAAGGACCCAAGGGTGGAACTAAGAAGGCATTCAGGGACTTTTGGGGATATATATGAGGGAGCCATGTTAGACACACTCTCTCACTCTAGCGCTCTCTGGACAGTGTGGCTGGCGGCTGGTCAACAGGCTCTTAACGAGCTTTTAGTGTTACTGGAGTTCAAGTCAGCGGAGCTGGTAGGATGTTCTAGTTAACTTGTATCTCTCTCTCTCTTTCCCTGGGTTGTACCTTTTCCTTTCCCCTTTGTAAATAAGCCCATTATTGACCCTTTTTGTGTGTGCCTGCAGTACAACTGAATTTTAAGCACTGGGGTGAGGACACACAGACAAGCAACCCAGTTCATACTGGGCTGCCCTGTAACAAAACTGGGCGATAGTACTAGAAAGAAAAAAAAAGGAGGCCTACTAATCTGGCAGGTTTCAAAGGTCAAATATAAATGTTTAGAGAGAAAATACATGTGTCAGCTGTTATAAAAAAATGCAACAATAGGGCCTTCCCTGGTGGCACAACTGGTTGAAGGACAGCAATATGAAGCTCTCCACAGCCACTGCAGCACCAGTTTGATACCCGGCCAGCAAGGTGACCCCATGACCAGGCAGACCTCTCCTGACCCACCCACTATTCCCCTTCACAGTCAATCTGCCTGTTCTGTTCCCCACTCTGTCTCTGGTGAATCCTCTCACCCAACACCTCTGGCTTGTGCTCCAGTTCTATAAGCAGAAATAAATCTTTCAAAAAAGGGGAAAAAAAGAGAAAACTGCAACTGTGTACTAATGCAATAAAGAAATGTGGCAAGTTCTAGTATTTTCAACAGAGATGGGCAGTTAGGAAGAAATGGAGAAAGTAGTGGGCATCGTCTCTGGGGACTGGTGGCCAAGCATGATGGACAACGGGGCAGGACGGTGCACACTTAAGTGGCCCATGGAGAGAGGGAGAAGGACGTACTAAGAAGAGGTAGGTTCTAGTGACACAGCCAGGGAATGGAGACAGGCGGCTTTAGGGCCACAGAAGCGATCATACCCATTCACTGGTAAAGAAAGGAGCCTTACTCTTCTAACTGGGGTCTGTGAAGGCGCTAGGGGGCTAGACCAGAGCAGATGAGTGAACTGACTCCAGAGATGAGAGCAGCACAAGGAAAACAACTCCATCGAGGACTAGGTGGCAGAGCGTGAGCTGAGAGAAGTGAAGCAGGTTAACATGGGCGTTAAGTGATGAGTCGCAACTGGGCTATTGCTTGAGAAACGAGGGCCAGCAAGATTTCCATGGGCCCAGGGAGAAAAGATTCAAAGCCTCTTCCATTCGGTCGTAGAGATGGTAAGATCTGGGTTTCAGAGGACAAGGTGGGATATGGAAGTCAGAAAGCCACTTCTCTATTCAGAAAGATTTTTCTATGTAGACTAGAAAAGATATATATGGATTTACCATGTGGCCAAAATTCTTGTTTCTGAATGCTGGATGAGCTTTGTACTATTCACACACTTGACAGTCAAGCTTAACTTTAAAATCCTAATGTTTTGATTAGAAATAGTTATGTCTTATGTTCCTGGTGAACTACTAGGATTTTCAGCCAAAATTTCTAAACACTTGAGTAAACCTTTTTTGATTCACTCCAAAGAAGAAATTTTCACTGCAAACCCACAGTTGCAGTCAGTTGCTCACATGCCAACAGCAGCCAGCACAGGAAGCTGTAAATCATAAAGATTCAGACCTTGAACTGTGCCAACATCTGCAAAGAACAGGAAATATTTACTGTTCATTTAATAACCGATGTGCATTCTGTGCTACCAAGTCCTCAAAGAGAATTTCAATTCCTGACATGACAGAGTGTATTAAGAAATGAAATAAAATCCTAAACGTGCTCAACTGATCATCCTTTCCAGACCTTAAAATGCCAAGTATTATCTCCACAAGTTTTTATATTTTCAAGAAAAGAGCCTTGTTCTCCTGAAAGGACTTGATATTCCAAGTCAGGGGCTTTCTGTCTTTCAGTTTATCTAATGGATGGTGCATGCTTCTATGATCTATATCCAAGGCACTGCATGCATTTAAGATAAGCTACTCTGAAAATCTCAGTGCACTGGAAGTAAAGCAGTGATCAAAGAAATGGCATTGAAGGAGACTAAATTGTAGAAGCAGAAAATGTAGTTGCCTAAAGAGATTAAGATGAATCTCTCTTGTGTTATGAAGAAGCTAGTGAATCACATTTCCACGAATGGGATTTTACATTTTCTCAGACCCAATATCAAAGCAGACGAAAAATATGTGCATTTTACAAAAATAAAAGAGAAAAGAAAGCCACCCACGTCCGAACTGGACTTACCTATTAGTTTCTATTTTCATCCTCCCAAGTTGTACATTCAGTGACCGGTGAGCATTCTGGGAATCGTGGGACACGGTAGAACTGAGTGTGCTCACCCCCGAGGTGGCCACAGCATCTTCAATGACGGGGTGAGGTCTTTGGACACTCTGATTTGAAGGCCGTTCCTCGTGGTCCTCCTCTACATCCAAGTCTTCCTGGTCAGCAGTATCACTCTCAGATGCAAGGCTGAAGTGTGGCCTCAGTTCTGTAAAGTGCAATAACCATGTTAGTGAAATGTGGATGACTGTCTTAATTTATTTATCTATGTATATATGAGTTGGCGTGTAGGCCAGAGGTGCAGGGGTAGATGGAGTAGTAGTGGTGGTGAGAGGCTTCACCAGACACAGTGGGGAGCAGAACAGGCAGATCAACGAAGTACACTGCTGAGGGGAGCAGCAGGTGGGTCAGGAGAGACCTGCTGTGCCATGTGGGTCAGCTCCCTGGCCAGGGATCAAACTCAGGCTGCAGATAGTTTCATGGTGCTGAGACTTAACCCTGTGCACCACCAGGGAGGCCCAGTCTTAATTTATGTCTTGAATATCAGCACCCCTGCTATCAGATATGTTTCCAAACTGCTTTTCCAAACATGGATTTTTGTGCATTAATTCATATTTGTTCTTTCAATGAAGTACAAAATAAGTGTCAGCACTAGGGCAGGACTCAAGGGGTGTGTAGAATGAATGGCTGGTGTCAAAGTCCCCATGTGGGAAACTAGAGCTGATAAGGGCTAGGGGATAACTCATCAATACAGCAATATGGGATCACACAATGACACTATTCCCACCTGCTAAACCCCTCTACCCCTCAAACACCCCCTCCAAGTGGTTATTTTCTCAGAGGAAAATAACTAGACCCAGCTTTTTAAACACAGGGTATTTCTGATGCCAAATAAAATCACAAAACCTGTCAGTGGAATGAATGGATTTCTTCCTACAGAGCAAAATGGTGGCCCATCTTACATTTACACAACGCACCTCAATACATTCTGCTTAAAGAATGCTAGTGCTCAAAACAAGACCCGGTGGAGTCACTTCTGCTAAACCCTGATCACCAACCAATACTTAAGTTAATAGTCTCAGGCTCTCCCAGAATAGAACCTTAAATGGGTCAGTCAGGAATTGCTTATCAGCACCAGTTAAATTATCTGCCTGATGGACCCCTGCTGTCCTCTAAAGGAAGGTGACTTGCCATACTAATCTAATCTTTTTGGTTCGTATAATTTCCCTGTTCCTGCTTCCTTCTTACTTAATTGCCTTTCATTTTGCTTTTTTAACAGTAGTAATATCTTGTGCTTTATCACTTCTAAAAAATCATTACTAATACTGGACATGTTCCTTCATTATCAAATCTCTCCAGCTAAGCTGCCAACATCCTTTCTATGCTTAGCATTTCTCCATCTGGTCCCCCACAGCCAGATGGACTTAAGGAGAAACAACAGATACTCAATGTTGCCAATCTTCTGAAGGCTGATTCTTGATGACTGAGAAAATAGCCCGAGGAAAAGAAACTCTTCAGGGGGTGTGCACTGTACTCTTTGTTCTGAGTGCTCTTTTTGGGAAAAAGAAGACAGAACACTTTATTTTTTACTTTGAAATGATTCTAGAAGAACAGAAAAGTTGCACTAAGTCGTACAGAGAGTTCTCATATACCCTTCAGCAGCTTATCTTAAACGTATCATCTTATAACACTTTAACAGCAGTTCCTTCCAAAATAGAAAATCAACAGTCATCTACAGACCTTACCTGAATTTCACCCATTTCCCCCGATGTCCTTTTTCTGAGCCAGGGCATCATATAATATTTATGTCATTTCTCCTTAAGACTTTCTCAACCGGGCCATTGCCTAATAATTTCTTTCTCTCTAATAACCTATAACCTATACTTTTTTTTTAGTTCAATAAGTACTTACTGAGTATGTTTCTAACCTAGAAAGTACTAACATCAAAAACTCAGCTACATCTCTGTCCCGATGGGGCTTAAGTCTGATGCAGAGAACAGATGTTAAACAACTCAACTGTCAGCACGATAAGGGTGGCAGAGGTATGGAGCGCAGAGAGTGATATTTAACTCAGCAGAGAGCAGAAGGTGTCAAACTTTCATGTGCATGTGACTCTCCTGGGACACTTAAAATTCAGGTTTTGGGGCCTGATCGTTGTGAAGCCAGGGGTGACAAGACTACACACAGGAGGTTGGTGTGGGGGGCCAGGAAAGGTTGCCTTGAGAACTGAAGTTCCACCAAGACTTAACCGATGAGATGGGCCTGTGTGTGACCGGTGGCCATAACCTACACTTACAGGAGTCCTGGTCAGTTCTTTTGTATTATGTCCTTCATGTTGGGTTTGTATGGGTCTTACCATGATTATGTTGAGTCTGTGCTGTTTGGCAAGTAGTTCACAAAGGTGTCTTTGTGCCTTTCCTGAAGTTGATGTGTCTGCTGACTTGTGATGCTGGCACATTTGCTAAAGGGACTGTCTGGGCCCTCCCTGGTGGCGCTGCGGGTTAAAGCACAACACTAAGAAGCTAAAGCCACTTCCTCATGAGTTCGATTCCCGCCTGCCCCGGAGGTGACCACATGGTGTGGCAGACCTCTCCTGACCCACCTGCTGCTCCCCTCAGCAGTGTACTTTGTCAATCTGCCTGTTCTGTTCCCCGTTCTGTCTCTGGTGAAGCCTCTCACCGCCCCTGAGCCTCTGGCCTGTACCCCAGTTCTGTATGCACAAATAAATAAATCTTTAAAAAAAAAAGGGACTGTCTGCTGAGTTCCTCCTCTGTGAAGTCACTGTTTTGCCTTTGTAATTAGTTACTATCTTGTGGGGGGAATAGCCTGATTCAAAGCATTCAAAGAACATCCTGCTTCTCATTACTCTCTTGCCTACCAATTTTAGTGGCTATCACAGGTGGTTGCTACCTACAACAATTAATACTGTGCAGTTTGTCTAACTGTGATTTTTCATTTCACTCATTCCTTCTACATTTATTAACTGGAATTTTACTAAAACAAAAAGTTGACCTTTTTCCATTATGTATTTTTTCAACTACTTCTATCAGTATGGACTCATAGATATCTAGCTTATCCTATGGCTAGAATCCAATCTTGTTTTAATTTATTGTTCAACTCATTTTAGCTTAGATTATTGGAAACTCCTTCAAGATTTCCCCAGTAAATTTTCAACAATAACTATATATTTTTTGGTCACTTTCTTACTTTTTGGCAACACAAGATGTTCCAGGCTTATCTTGTATCCCCTGTCCCCAGCCAGGAATCAACTATTTCTTTAAAGAGCTCTGATTCTTTTTGTTGGAGAACGGTGTTCAGAAATCTATCAGCAGGACAGATCTATAATAGGAAATGTATGTCCTAATGAAAGTATGCTTTTAAATCTGTTGTCTTTTTTAGCCTGTCTTTTCAAATCTGGTAGGTTACTTATAGTATTTAGTCATCTAAAAGAAATTTTGTCAGGGGGGATACCAGCATGGGTATTTCAATGTCATTTCCTTGAATCTTAATTGTATGACAAAGTCTTAAGGGACATCTAGAAATTTGATGGAACTGTCAAATGTTCAAAATCAGTTAATCTTGTTCATGTTTCTTCACCTATTTATCAGTATACAGTGCATAGTGTCTTCTAGAAATGCTTTCTCCATGTAATTCTCTTGTAACATTTCCACTTGATTTACATTGTTGTTTGAGACTCCCAGTGGCTTCAAAGAAAACAATCTCCCAGTGGAAGGACAAAAAACTTTCCTTAGCATAAAGAATGCGCAGTCTCATCTATGCCTTGGGTTAAATGCCTGAGCTGGGTTAAAACATCACCAAGACACTGAAAGGTGAACTGAGCCTCTGCAATCTCCCTGCTGCTCTCTCTAACAGCAACAGCCCTGTGCTTACAGTGTGATAACCAGTGTGCTTTTAAAATTTTCCATGGTGGATACCTTTTAGATTTACAGAAATGTTGCTAAGACAATGCAGACTTCCCATACACTTCCAAATAGCAACTCCTAACAAATCTTAGATTACTCTCATGTCAAGACTTTTTGTCAAGACTAAGAAATCAATATTGGTATAGTACTATTCATTGAACTAGACTTCCTATTTCACAGGTATTCTTTTTCAATGGATACAATCCATTAAATTTAGTCAACTGACTTTTTTTTTTTTAAAGATTTATTTATTTGTACATACAGAACTGGGGTACAGGCCAGAGGCTCAGGGGCGGTGAGAGGCTTCACCAGAGACAGAGTGGGGAGCAGAATAGGCAGATCAACGAAGTACACTGCTGAGGGGAGCAGCAGGCGGGTCAGGAGAGGTCTGCCTCGCCATGTGGTCACCTCCGGGGCAAGTGGGAATCGAACTCATGTAGAAGTGGCTTTAGCTTCTCAGTGCAGTGCTTTAACCCGCTGCGCCACCAGGGAGGGCCCAGCAACTGACTTTTTAAAGGAAGTAGTTTTTTTTTTTTTTAAACTAGATTAGTAGATCATTTACATGCTATTTAAATTACTTGAAAGTATAGTTCCTTGCTGCTTCCCTCATGTGGACATTCTTTTTAAGGTTTATTTATTTATGCGTACAAGATCTGGGGTACAGGCCAGAGGTGCAGGGGTAAGAGGATTCACCAGAGACAAGAGTAGGGAGCAGAACAGGCAGATTGACTGAAATACACTGCTTAGGGGAAAGGTCTGCTGTGCCAGTGGGTCAGTTCCCTGGCCGGGGACTGAACTCATGGGGCAGATATTGTAGATAGCTTCATGGTGCTGTGCTTTAATCCCTTGCACCACCAGGGAGGGGTCTCATTAAGACTTTCTTTCTTTTTCTTTAAGGTTTTTTTATGTTTACAGAACTGGGGTACAGGCCAGAGATGCAAGTGCGGTTGGAGGATTCACCCGAGACAGAGTGGGGAGCAGAAAAGGCAGATCGATGAAGTCCACTGCTGAGGGGAGCAGCAGGCGAGACAGGAGAGGTCTGTCGCGCCATGTGGATCACCTCCGTGGTCTGGACTGAACTTGCACTGAAGCGGTTGCGGCTACTTTTGCTGTGCTGCATTTTAACCTGTTGTGCCACCAGGGAGGGCCCCATTAAGACTTTCTGAACTGAGGTTACTTCTGTGCTCATTCATGGCTTATACTTGTTCTTTTCGCTAGTATACACCTTCCATTCGACCCCTTGGATCTTTTCAGTACACACCCCCTCTACATTGCATTCTACACATCCAAGTTTATCCTAAAAGCAAATCAAGTATAAATACGTGTTGGCTTCCTGAGAGCACTGCATTGGATTCAAATGAGCTTCACATTCCTTGGTTTTACACCCAACTATTAGTCATGTGTTTTCTAAGTTACACAAAATTTCTACCCCAATATGTGATGATTGGGTGGATCTTGGTTACTTATTGTTTCAACCAGTATTGATCAGGTGCTATGTGGGCAATGTGCTTGGCACAGAAGAAAATAAAACAGGTAGTCAACTTCTAGGGTGAGAACCAGCTAGTAGAAAAGTAATTAAGTTGTTTTTGGATTGTGGCCAGTGTCACCAGTGTGGAAAATCCTACTTTCAGCTTTATGGTGGGTTAGAACTCTGTGAGGGAATGTCTTATGAACTGATACCTGAAGAATGGCAAGGTACAAAAAGGCAAAAGTCAGTGACTAAGGGGTGTGGATGAAGGTGTGCGCCTTGTTGAGGGAACAGCTCAGGGGGGTAGGATGTTTACTTAGATTTCTTTCTTACAAAAGAAAGAAATCAACCTTCACTGATGCTCCATAAATAATAAATAAAATCTCTTAAAATTTCCATTTTAGGGTTCTCCCTGGTGGCACAACGGGTTAAAGTGCAGCACTATGAATCTCTCCAAAGCTACTGCAGCATGAATTCAACCCCTCTCAGGGAGCTAACCCACATGGCATGGCAGACCTCTCCGGACCCATCCACTGCTCCCTTCAGCAGTATATTTCAGTCAATCTGCCAGTTCTGCTCCCCACTCTGTCTCTGGTGAATCCTCTCACCGCCCCTGCAACTCTGGTCTGTACCCAAGCTCTGTATGCATAAATTAATCTTTTAAAAAATTTCTATTTTAAAATGCTTTATAATCACTTACAAATTAGTAGAGGACATATTTCTAATATATATATATATTGTACATATATGTGTATATATCTATTTATATACACACACACACATATATACATACACACACACAATTATCTATACACACATATAAAAGATAAAAAAAGTATTGCTTAAAATTTTTCATTTACATGTGGGCCATCAAAAAATTTTGGAATTTTGCTTGGAGGAAGAATGTATCCCTTGTTTAATCAACCTGTGTCATCAACACTATCCCTTTTGTACCTTGCTGCAAGCATAGCTGGGACCTGCCTAGACCAGTGATTTCCAAACCTGGCTATATATCAAAATAACCTGGAAACTGGATTAAGGTCATATTTCCGGGCTTTCTCCCCAGAGGATTCTTACTCAGTCTGGGATGGGGCTCTGAGAGCTGTAATTTTAGAGCTCTCTCTGTGACTCAATGTATTGGCAGGCTTGGGAAAGGCCAACAAAAGGCAGCATAGCAACGAATTTGGTGGCACAGATCTAGCTCCATATAGAAATGCACAAGTATTGGGGTGACTTGTACAGTTTTCTGTTTCTCTTCATATCCAAATAAACTTTTTAATGACAAGGAAGCAAAGCTTCCTTTTTTGTTTCATAATAAACATTTCCTTGTGTATTGTGCTCAGACTGTATGCACTAGATAAATGTTTTTTGTTGACATTGAACCATAAGGAAAAGGGCTAAGTTAGTCTGAAAAGGAGAAAGAAAATACCATAGATGATAAATGGCTATTAACCTAAAGTATTAAATACAAAATAATTAACATTTCTGACCTGGAACCAGAATAGTAATGGCTGTCTGTACTGCCTTTCGGATGATACTGTCCAAAGCAAACATCCAGTGTGGCTTGATATTATGATTCCGAAGAACTTTATTGACCTGAAGAAAGAGAGTGGCATTTAACCTATTATATCTTTAATTGAAAATTGTCTAGTTAAGGCAAACATTTAGATAGCATTTTGTCAACAAAAACAACTGAAAGATTTATTCACTTTCATTTGTGAATCATTTCTTTTTATCAGAAAACAAATGAAAAACTGCCAATATAAAATTGAAGTTTGATGATCTCCAAGTAAGCAGAGAAGGAAAGTTATCTAAATGAAAGGCAGTCTGGTTAGAAGTGGCTGTGGCGCAACAGGTATAAAGCACAGCATTACGAAGCTCTACAAAGTTGCTGTAGCATGAGTTCGATCCCTGGCCAGGGAGCTGACCCACATGGCGCCGCAGACCTCTCCTGACCCGCCCACTGCTCCCCTCGGCAGTGTACTTCGTCGATCTGCCTGTTCTGCTCCTTAAAAGAAAACAACTATTGTGGCAATGTTAAAAAAAAAAAAAGTTAAAATTTAAAAAAATTATATACAGTGCTTCCACATCACATCACAAGCACTCAAAAATTTTTATTTTAATCCCTCACAGCTTGTAAGAGCCTGCTGGGAGTGGCTTAGGGCTTTTTTTTTGGGGGGGGGGTATGAAGTTCCATAGATAAGTTTAGTTTAAGAATAACACATATGGTTTGGACTCTTTCTTTTGGAAGGTTTGCCTGTAGTTTATGTTGCATAACAACTGAGTTTGGAGAGAGAAGAATCCCAGCAACTGTGAGATCATGTGGAGTGATTTTCATTCAGAGATGCCCTGTTCAGTAAAGTTTATTTGAGGTTAGAGAATGGTGGGCATTTATTAAACAAACATGTTTAAAATGTTCTGTGTGGACACCTGAACACAAGAGTCCGGTGGTTTTATCAGGCAGTGACCATTCCCATCTGTACTGTTACACTTTTCTCAATGACCACTAGATGGCATGTTTCATATAGAGTTAGAAAGCACATGACAAAAGTATATTCTGTTGCTAAAGTCATCAAAGTTAAGTAAAGACCCACTATATGATTTCATAAGAATAAAGTTGAGCTCTAGGACATGCCTGTGCTACATGCATATATAACTTTGGGAAGTAGAGACATACACAACAAAGCTGAGAGTAGACTCTATCTACTCTCACATCTGTCAGTCAGCAAAAGAGAATAGAATTCATCAGAACTTGATTAAAAAGAGGAAAACAGAACATTGGTATAATCTCATTTTTCGGTCTCCTTTAGCTGGAGTTTATGGGAAAACACCGGCAAAATATCATACTTACTGCATCTTGAAAACCAAAGAGCACCACCTGTACTTGGCTTATGCCATGGCTGTCGAAGTCCAGCTCCAGCTTCAGCTTGGACAGTGTGGTAGCTATGATTTTCCGGTCAGTGGATCTCACAAATTCTCTGAGGCTTGCAACAAGGGTTGTAATATGCTCCCATTTTAGTTTAGGTTCTTCAGCCCCCTGTGAATGAAAATCAGCAATTTGTCAATTGATCTGTGGTGAACAGTCTGCCATGCCCACAGCCCTTGATGAGAAGAACTGGCCTCCAAAGTGTACCCTGCTAGGATCCTATTTGAACTATATGGCTCTTCTTCCCTCAAAGAAATAGGCAGGCTTTGGGAGAAAGGGCACCTCTCCAAACACTGGCCAATAGCCACGTTATAGTCAGATATGCACAGCTTTGCCCAAGAGGGGTCAGCTGAGGCAATATGAGTCTTGTTCTCAGAAATGTTAACTGGGAACTAAGAGAGATTCAGGCAATAAGCCACAGGACCTCAATTTTGAAGTCTGGTCAAAGAGTCATGAAGTAAAGGCAAGAGCACCTTGGTAGTAAGGAAAGCAGCAGAAGCAGTGAAAGTGGGAACAAAAACAGGTGAGTGAGAAGGAGATGGAAAGGGAAACCCTTACTGGGAGGACAGGAGTGCAAACACGTGCAACTGGAAGTCACCCCAGTTTCTGTCTCTGTGATGCTCAGGTAGGCAATATGGCTGGAGTCCTTGTAGCAGTCACAGCCCTCATGGTTGTGTGTGGGTTTGGGTCACCTACAGCGGGTTTGGGTCACCACCCCGAAAGACACAATCTTGAATGCCAGATTCCCCAAGGTCAAGTTCTCCAACCGGTAAAAATCCCGAAATTCAAATAGCCAGAAGATCATAACAGGGAAAGACTGAAATGGCAAATGTTGAAAGCTTGAGAGCCCCCTTCTCTCCAGAGAGAAGAAGGCCAACAAAGAGGAGCAGAAAGCCCAGTCAGTTAGTGGCTGCTCTGGTTGTTCAGGGGAGGAATTGGGAAAACTGTTCTCAGAAAGGCCCCAGGGAGCTGGTGGACAGGGCGACCCACAGCGAAAGTGGACAGTGGAGAGGCCCCTTCTTGCAGGCGTCACACCATGGACTTACTGCACCGTCGCCAGGACCGAGCATTGTGGGACCTTCCAGGGAAGCGCATGGGGGAAAGCGGCTGCCTCTAAAGAGAAGTGCAGGGAACCTATGTTTTCTCTCGGACACCAGGTCCTTCTTCACAAGGTCAAGAAATGTCCCTGAAAGAATGTGGGAGTATCTTCTCCTCCAACGTTCGCTTTTTGGGATTCTGATCTCTCGGAATTGTCAGCTCTGGGGTTTCTGACACGGGTTTCTACTTCCGGGAGTCTGGCGTTCATCCTTCGGGATTAAGATCAGCGCTGTCTACAGCCTTTGTCCCCATTGCTTCAGCTGTGTCAGCTCCTTGCAGCCAAAGGGCTGGTTCCTACTCCACCTGGAGACCTTTCTTTCCTCACCACGGAAGCAATGAGTCTTATGAACTGATCAATGGACTGTATTTTACATTTTAAAAAAGTAATACAGTATTTAAACAAACTCCTTCTCTCAAGATTTTTTTTTTCACTTTGAACAAGGAGCGATCTTCCTTCAAGGAACATAGTTGAGTGTTATTTATCTTCCGTTCACTTCAAGAAACATCATTTTTATTATGCTCATTTCAGTCATATTGCACATCTTGTTACTGAATCATTAAAATTAAATTCCTCGACTGAGCCATGAAAATTATAACTTCCAGGATTCTATTAAAACTAAAGAGTAATGCACCATCAAGCTCCTTCTCTGTTCTCACTTGGGAGTGCCTTCTCATGTTTATGTTTTCATGAGAAAAGATGATATTGAAAAACTTAAAAGCTGCCATTAAGGGAGTATTTTAACATCAAACTGGGAACCATTATAAACTTTGTTTCTTTTCTTACCATGAACTTAATTACACCCAAAGTAAAGATTCACAGGCAATATCATAATAACATGAAAATATGTTCAAGAAGAAAAATGTGAGTTATTCAGCATTTGGAAGCTTATCTTAGAGAAAAATCCAGTGACATGTTTGCCAGCAGTTTAAATAGCAAACATTTTTTTTTTTTTTGACATTAGCTTTGTTTTGTTTCTTACAACAGAAAAACATGCTGCTTCTGGTTTTTTGATGTGTGTGCCACTGTCTTATAAACGAACACTGTCTGCTCTGGGAAATGCTTTCTCTCTAGGGTGTCACGCCCCCGCTTACATAATCGGTATTTCGTTCTAACTCCTGTCTCTATGTGCACTTGTAGACGTGCCTTCATAAATGAAATGAGTATCTTCGGTATCAGTGCAGCCTGATTCCTTGTCAGGAGGCAGCACCTGACAGGCCTTCCCTGAGCTTGCCTCACAACTGCGCAGGTGCTCACTCTTACTTGTTAAACTCCTTGAAATGATGAGTGGATTTCAGAAGGAGATTACAAGATTGAAAGGCTGTTGTGGGTGGGTTTGCGAATCTGATCAAACCTAAGTTTTGGTTTCCCTATAAAGGGTAGGTCTGCCTAGAAATGTCTGAAACAATGAAAGGAATTCAATCTGGTTGTAGGAAAATTAAAGATATTAGATGACTGCTGTTATTGCAACAGCAATAACACAGTTGACATTTGTGGAATATGTAGGGCAAATGAATTAATCAGGCTTTTTACACCCCTGGTTCTGCAGCTATCACCTGTGGCATTGATCATGTTAATGCAGAGGTCACTTGGGAAAGTGGGTACGGGGCAGGAGTGGCTCATAGTGAGCACCTGGAGTGTAGGTGCATATGCAAGGGTGACACCCGAGCCTTCAAGGCCAGGGACATAAAGGCGGAGTCAGTCAGAGACAGTTAGCTATGAGAGGATGAGTGTTGTGACTACAAAAGAGGCTAGATGCTGTGAAAGAGGGCGTCAGGGAGCCCAGAGAAAGAACATAAAGATTTGTGGGGGGCTTAGGGGGTTGTTGCCTGCTTGCTTCCCTGCCTGGCCCTTGACTGCCTCCTTGCATACCGGCTTCCCTGCCTGGTGTGCCAGTGTACCTGGTTTCCTGAGAGAGCATTAAGCCAAAAAAATACCCCGAGGGCTCCAAGACTCTCCTTTACTCACCTGCTGGAATCAACAGCCAACCTGCCCTGTGCCTACTGGCACTAGAAACACTTTCTATTATTATTTTGGTCGCTCACCATCTTAGTTACACCTTATGTGAGTCTATGAGGTAGATACTATCATTTCCTCTACTTCATAGATTAGGAAATTCAGCCTCAGAGAAGTTAAATAACTTGCTGAAATCACAGCCTTTATGTGGCATAACCATGTCTCATACAGAGAGTAGCTGAAGCTGAGAGCAAGCTCCTAGTTACTGTTTTCTACCGTCACAATCAGTGAGATGAGGCCTCAGGGAGCTGGGCTCCCCACTTTTCACCATGTGACCCAGGGACAGGGACTCGTACCCTCAGCACTACAGCCAGAAGGCCCTGGCTCTCATTTGACAGTTCTGGATCTAGCATGTGATTTCAGCTGGCAGTTTCTGGTCTTCACTTGTCACTTCATGCTGTTTCCCTCAGGCATGCCCTCTGAAGGTCGCTTTTAAGGTTTTCTTTCATTTTTCCTTTTATAGAGAACTTTTAAGTGTGCATCAAAACCGGGAAAGCCACATATGATTGACTTGAATGTATTTTTGCATTCAATTCCAAAACTTAAGACTCTTAACATGGTTAGAGAAGTGACTTCAGGCTCTTGCCAGGCTCTGTTGTGAGAGCTGGCGACATTCTGAAACTCCGGCCATAACTAAGGCAGGCTCTGCTCCAGTGGGCACATATTCAAGGGGGACACAAAAAAACTCCCAACAGACATTTTCTGCACTGGACAAGCTGGTGTGGGAGCTGATTACCAGGCCATTTACCAGCTGATTACCATGCTTGAGGTAATTCCTGCATTCTGTGTGTTTCAGACCTAAAACAGACCATCTCATACCAGTGTGGAGCCTTCCCTCCCTCCACACAGGCTAAATGGTGATCTTTCCTTCCTCACCCCCTACTGCTACCCTTTACGACAGCATGGCCTTAGGAAGTTTCTTACCTCTTCTCTGCAAAATCAGGAAACAAATGAAACTATTAAGCTGTTGGAAAATTCATGATGTATTTTTTCTGTTTTATATACAAAAATGCATCATGACTTTTCCGGCAACCCAGTATTTACTTAAAGTACTACTGGCATAGAATTAAATGAATTATACTAAGACCCTACCTGGCCCCTTGGCAGTGTTTGCTGTAATTGCTGTTATTAGTACAGCATATTACTTGTTACTCTATGTCATATCTGTATTTTTAGTACCTCTTATTATGTATTTAATGTTATATTTACTAATTATTTTTGCATTTGCTTTTCCCATACAGAAGCCAGCACCATGGATGCAGAATTTTTTCAGCTTTTTCACTGTAGTAATTGAGGCACACAGAAACGAGCTGGGCATTTAGCAGATGCACAACAGGTATCTGCAGAATGAATGAATGAACTCCAACTGCTGCCAGTTGCTCCTTCCATTTGGTTCCTCCTCCCATCTGAGTCTTGGCCCTTGAAAGACCACAGGGAGTGGAAGGAAAGGCAAGAGAGAAATATACGGTTCAGACAGCTCTAGGCACCGCCACCTCTTCCACTATTCCTGCCAGCCTCCTCAGGGCTCACCCTGCTTCCCAACTCAGCAGCCCAGCGCCTGCCATCCCCAAGCACCTCCTTCCTAGGCCTGAGAACAGCTGCTGGAGGCGACTTTCCATTGGGACACATCCGAATTTTCCCAGAGACTATTGGCATCAGCTCCTTGCATGGATTCCAACAAAACAAAGAAGGCCTGGATGATGGAGTCAGCAGAGATTTAGTGAGACTCGTAACTCAGGCAGGACTGCACAGCACAGGCCAAAGACAGAGCAAGCCTTGTTCCGTTTGCATCCCAAGAAAAGCCAAGAACAGTAAACTGCTGGACTGAGAGACTAAAACCTCCACCTGACCCCTCCAGCTCCACCCTTTCTGCAGCTGTTTTCCCAGGGCAGCAAGGAGAGAGGAAGACAGATATAGTTCATGTGCTCATGAAGGACAGGTGGTGACCACTGGAGCTGAAGCAGGCAAACTGTCCCTGATGCTCATGGGGTTACCGGAGACTATGGAATCGTTTTGGTACAAGGCATGACTGCAGCAGGCCATGCCCACGAGAGGCCTCTGCTCCCACCCCTGGCTTAGTACTGGACACTGTTCCACTGACACAGCTCTGGGGAAAGGACTGGTGTCATCCCCACCCAATATTCACATATTGAAGCCCTAAGTCCTCCTGTGACTGCTTAGGAGACAGCGTCCTTAGTAAGAGGCAGCTAAGGTTAAATGAGGTCAAGGGGACAGCCCTAGTCAACAGGACTAGTGTTTTCAAAAGAAGAAGGGGTGCACAGAAGGAAAAAGGCAGACGAGGAACAGGGAGAGGAGGAGGTCGTCTGTGAGCCAGCGAGCGAGGTCTTGGGAGAAACCCATTCTGCTGACACCTTAGTCTCAGACTTTCAGCTTCTAGAATTAAAAGAATTCAATTCCTTTTGTTCAAGCAACTCAGTCTGGTTATTGTTATGACAGCCCTACCAAACAAAAACACCAGAGAACAAAAGTTTGACCAGCTTTGTTTTTCATAGCACATATGGCCTGCTATCACACTGCATAATTTTCTTAGTGTTACCCATCACCGCCTTCCTGAGTGTAACCCCACAAACACAGGGGTCTCTGTTGTATTTATGATGTTTCCCTAATGCTCATAGGACCCCAGCAGAGAGTCAACTGCTAATGCCTCAGTCAGCCATTCACATGGCTCAATGGATGACTATTGGTTGATTGAATGAATGAATAAAGGCTTATAGGAGCCAAGTAATAAAAATGAAAATTTTGCCCTGCCTTAAAAAGAACTTACGTAAAAAACTGCAGTTTATGTGTTTTTGCCTTCTAAGGTCAGTTTTTGTTGTTGTTAAATCATCAGGTGCATTAAACTTTTCCACATTACCTGTGATAATTCCAAGTGGCTATGACACATTAAGTATGTCAATTCTGGGAAATAAAATATCCATCAGAGGTTTTACCTGAACCAAAGATTCCATCAGGTTTCTCACGACTTTGTCTTGGTCTTCCGTCAGAATCCTGTGGAGGGTGGCCCGCCTTTCACTGTCCTTTCTCAGCATAAAGAATCCAGAATCTTTTTCCTCAGGGGAAGGAGGGGCGCTGTGATCCTCGAAATTTTCATCTGGAATGCTGTAAGAATTTATATGACACAAGTCACAATGTCCTTTATAAAATGACACATGATCTACAGTGGACCTTGAACAATATGGGTTTGAACAGACTGGATCCACTTATACAAGGAGTTGCTTGGAAACAGACATATTGGTAACGGTTTCAATAAATACAGTACTATAAGCGTATTTTCTCTTCCTTGTGATTTTCATCATTTATCTTCCTGGTAAGAATACAGCATGAAGTATGTGTAACATACTACAATAAATATGTGTCACTTGACTGTGCCACTGATAGGGAGCCTAGCCAACAGCAGGCTATTATTAGTAGCTAAGTTTTGGGGGGAGTCAAAAGTTATAGGCAGTTTTCTCACTGTGCAGGGGTGTCAGCACTCCTATATACCACATTGTGCAAAAGTTCACTCTCTCATGCATAATAGTATCAAAAGTGGTGGTGGGGGGGAGAAGTGCACGGGACTACAGTGATGGCACGGGGTGATTTGGTGATGGGGGGGCCATGGGGATTACAACTGAGATGGAAAAAGGCAAAAAATGACGTAAAAATAAACTTATATTATTAAAAAAAAAAAAAGTCCATTCTTTCATCCAAAATAAGTCAGGTCTTTACCCCAAAAAGAGCGTCCGTATTCCTTTGACATCTTTTTCTCCACAGGATTTTGCTCTCGTCTTGAAAGAGAAGGGGTCCACCTTCAACTCCGTGTCAGGGGAGACGGAGCCGTACTCGCTGCTGCTGCTGGTGTCCTCCACAAGGACAGGTACCGGCAAGGAAATGCTCCTCAGGTACTCTGCTTGTCAGGAGAGGGGAAAGACAGTGGACGCTTTTCAAAAGTACATATGCACAATCTATTAAGAGACAGCAATGCCATGTGCTAAAGTCCTCATCTCATTGGGTAGCAAAGCAGAGGCTGGTGACGGGATTAGGATTACTCCTGGACAGGAGGGCAGCCAAGAAAGGGTCTCCCAGCCCAGAGGAAATCTCTCAGGCTGTGCAACAGCCTGAAGGCATGAGCTCCCACAGGCCCTGGCTTCTGAGCCTTTGCTTTTATTGACTTTGGGAAGGTCATTTTATGGATCTCAGTTCCCATAGCTACAAAATCATCAGATTAGTAATTTTTAAGCTATGAGGTGCAAGCCCACAGACAGGATTAAAACAAGTGAAAATGTGTCTCTGGGCCAAAGGGGCTGAAAAGTTGACTATATTGAGGAAAGTGTTTGTGGGATTGGACTGAATGGATTTCATAAGTGGCCCTGACAGCAGTCGGCAATCAATGACAGTAGACACAATGGAGGGCAAGTTGATGGAATGAAGAGGTGGAGAAGATCTATAGATACTGCATTTCAAGACCTGAAGCCATGATGAGGAGAATAACATCTGGAGCCATAGCCAATAAAGTAACAGTATCAGGGGAAAAGTTAGTTTGTGATGGAAAATGTTAGGCCCTGTTCTATGGAGAGAGGAATGGTGAGAAATTCTTAGGGGTATGGAATCCAAAACCAAGTGCAAGTTGACCCAGGAAGACAAATGCCTTCTCCATTGTGAAGGTGGGAAGAAGGATGAAAAAACGAGTATTAAGGCAGGTAAATTTATACATTTTTAGTGGAATTATCATGATTAGCTTCTCAGATGATTAAAGATTCCCAGTTAAATGATAAAGTATACAGCTGTATTCATCTGGCAGTGTACGTCTAGGTCATGATTCATTTTTTAATTAATAGAAGGCACTGGAATTCCCTGCACCACTTAAGAACAATCTTAAGTGGGATTTTAACTGCTAGTGAGGTTTGAACATCTGTCTTGCCTTTCTGGAACAGGGGGAAGAGGGATGTGTTCATCAGTCACAAGAAATCCCTTCAGTTGAAAGTCTGAGTAGTCGAATCATGCAGAGAGTTGGGTTTATCATTCTGTCTTGGTGCAAGTCAATGTCTCTGGCCAGGAGGACAGAGCGGGGAGGGATGGGTCACTGGAGGAATTTCTAAGTGAGGAAGAAGAGGAAAGTCCTTAAGGAAAAGAGAAAGAACCTTCTGGCTGTGGCCTATAATTCCAAACAAGCCTTTGGGCCTAGACAGACAAAAGCAAGAAGGATAGACCAACGACAACAGTTATAATAACTACCGGAGGCAGTGCTGTTGCACTAAGCATCTTACCTGTGCAGCTGTGTTCAATATTCTCTCCCACCCCAAGAGCAGCCCATGAACTCACCTGAAGGTAAGCCATCTTCAAAGTTACCCAACCAACAAGTGAACTTACCTCTACCCCTAATACCCATCCTCTTACTTCTGACTCTATATACATTCCCAAGAGTCTATAATATCGTAAGTGAAGTTAGCCACTAAAGACGGAGCAGAGGCCAAGACACTCCTGAAGTAGCCTGCGTCCAGAGGCTGAAAGGGAGCATGGGCTACGTGACTGAGCCCGAGTTCAGCAGACTTATGCTTCCACGTCATGCTCATTCTAAGGTGCCCCTTCCCTGAGAAGACTTGTGGTTGAACTTCTGGATTCAATTCTGTCTTCCTCTCCTGCCAACTGTGAGTAGTTGAGTTCACATAATTTAAAAGCGTCTATACTGGGAATTTATTTCCTTCAACAAAAACAGCCCATGTGAAAGGGACAAAACTAGCATGGATTGAGTTTCTGGGCATGTTGCCAGCCTCTTTCCGTATATATATTTTTTCATTTTGTCCTGAGAATCAAATCTGTGAAGTAGGTATTATTAGCAGCACAGAAAGTCAAGGAGATGAATATGTCACATATTTAGAAAGTGGCTGGGGATCAGAAGCCATGTCTACATAGTTGCACTTTATGACATGAGGAGTAGGCTGACCAGAGAACCGGGGAGCACCCCAGGAGCCACCCCGTGAAGGCAATGATGCCATCCAGATTGGAGTCTGCCCTCGCTGCTGGCGCAGTGGGTTAAAGCGGAGCACTGCAAGCGAGTTGTAGCTGTTTCGGTGTGGATTCCATCCCTAGCCAGGGAGGTGACCACATGGCGTGGCAGACCTCTCCTGACCTGCTCACTGCTCTCCTCAGCAGTGTAGTTCATCAATCGGCCTGTTCTGCTTCTGTCTGACTCTGTCTCTGGTGAGTCCTCTCTCACCCCTGTGGCTCTGGGGTACTTGTAGTACCCCAGTTCTGTATGAATAAATAAATCAATCTTAATATATATATATGTTTAAAAAAAGAAAGAAAAGAAAAAGGAGTAAAGGAAGGGGGCTCCTATTTCCTCAATGTTCTCCCTGACTTTCAGAATTAAAGAAGAAAAATTGGTGAGGTTGTAGTCAAGAAGCTCTTTCTACTGCATCTTTACTCGGGGGTAACTGGCTTGTAAGCAATGCAAAAACAAACCAAAACACCAGCCCCTGGCAGGTGGAACAACACACACTATGCCCTCAATGAACATGAAGTCTCCTGCACTATTTGGTGAACTCAGCCCACGTAGGAAGATTCCAACCCACTCTCATTTCTCTGACAGTCTTGGCAGTATTTTCATTGATCTTTCAGAGCAAATGTGTTCCGACCTGCCAAGGATATCATCAAAGGCAACTACTCCTGAGAGGATGTCATCTACCAGAGAGAGCCAAAGGCGGCAGGGGAAGGTGCCTGGCATTGACATTTTCCACAGTAAAGCCATTTAGGTGGTCAGTGGGAGCCTGACGAAGAAAGCATGGCCTCCACTCAAAGAGAAGATTTGATTAACACAATCACATGTTTCCTTTAGGGAAATACAACTTAAGTCTCCCATAGGAAAGACAAAGGAGAGGGGTTTCTGATAAGACAGCTGAACCAGGTTTGAAATCACACACATCCCTGGCATCAGAGACCCCATGTGAGCAGACTGTGGAGGGTGAGGCTGTTTGGGGGAAATCTAGCGTCACAAACTACACCAAGCTGCGGCTCAGCGGGCAAAATAAAAACAAACTCACCATTCGATCCAGCTGAAAGAACTGTGGGAACAAAGCAAATAGCAATGTAAGCACACGTAGGGTTTACTGTTAAATTCATAAATCAACAGTGAAGGCTTGAAATGGAATCAGTTTCCTTTCCAAATGTTCAATCTGCTCATCCTCATCACATATAAACAACAAATGGATCATTTACTTGTTTCTTATTTCTGAAATGAATTGTGAAAATTATCCCCAAAAATAGTTTATATGTTTAGACTGCTGTTTTATATATAGCAACCATCTTTTGGTTTTTTGGTGTGTTTTTTTTTTTTTTTTTTTGGGAAGGGAGGGAGAGGGGTTATTATTAAAAATATATTTTCTAAGAGTGGCAGATATTGTCTAATGCCTAAAATTGAAAGCATTTATTGTCTAAATGGGTTGAACGTTTACCAAGTAATATTACTGTAGCCCAGAAGTGGTAATTTGGAGCTTCAGTTCTACAAAGCTACATCTTACCTCTTTTTACACTTTAACCTTTGCATGCTAGAATGCTATCAGTGTGAATACACTACCACTACACGTGATGAGACACTATTATGTATGAGCTCCTAGTGTTTGTGAAATTCATGGTAATACAACTTCCCAATACTGAAACTGAAGGCCTGACAACACTGCTAATGTTTACATAACTTCCTATGATAGCTATAAACAAACTTACTTCTTGGAAAAATCTTCCATTTTAAAAGTTTAGGATTTAGTGACAATAACCTGGATGCTCTTCAGTGCAACCACATACCTGAAAGTTTAGGTTGTGTCTTTTTCTTTTTGCTTGAAACTTTTAAGAACTCATCAATAAGCAAGTCGTTAGCACAAGCTCTCTTGTCAGGATCTGGTTCAAAACACTTCAATATGAAGGCCTTGGCCTCTCCCGACATGGACTCTGGGATCTCCGGGTGGACTTTAAACATTCCCACCTAAGACACAAGCATAACATAGCTTCTGAGTGGCACCTCATTACCTGAGCTCCAGCTTCCATGACTGGGTCCTCAGCACACCACCCTTCATCATATACTACAAACTAATGACTTTTCCAAAGTTACATGAGATGTGTTTTCTGTAGGCTCGGAATGTTTCCACCAAACTTTCATAACTTGATCAGTGACACAGACAGAATATCTAGCATAAGAAAGTAGGGAGTGGCATGAGTAATAATCCAGTTCCCAAGGATTTAGAACATATGAGCACACTCGCATGCAAAAAAGGATATTTTTAAATGAACTCATTCAGTTGTTCACAGTACGATATGCCAGTGACTGTTTGACTTTTTTCCATTTATATATCTCATTGAATTCTCCCAACAACCCAGTGGATTAAATATTTCCCTTGTTATAGCAACAAGGAAAACAAGGCTCATAGGGTGAGGTTAAGTGGTTACAGAAAGGCAGATCTGCAATTTAATGATTCTGTAAAGCTATTTTCTCACAAATTGCCGAGATTAAATTAGACAAATAGTATTTCTATCACCATTAGAACTTTCTTCTCATTGCTATCATTCTACAATTTCTTTTCAACAATGGTCTCATGCACTTAATACAGAAAAGAGGTAGGGAATCTTTTTTTTGCTATTATTTATTTTAGGTTTTTAAAATTTATTACATATGTAATAATGTACAGTTATTTATATTAATAATTTAGCCATTATTCAGTATCAGACACTGTTCATAGTACTTCGCATATGCTACTAAGGCTTCCTCAAAAACCTTTTATTAGCTAAGTACCACTTTTATGCCAATTTTATAGTTGAGGAAACTAAGCTACAAGAAGGTGAAGTCATTTACTTGAAATCATCAATAGCTTGACTGTAATGGAGCCTGAATTAACACTTTGGATCAGAGTCAGAACCCACACTAGCACACCTAAGGCGTGTTGTATGACCATCACCACATGAGTTCATAATAGAGCAACAGCTCAACGTGAAGTCTTAAAGATTGTTAAAAATGTAAAAGATGGTGGGCCCTCCCTGGTGGCATAATGGGTTAAAGCGCAGCACTGCAAAGCTGGCCATGAGCCGCCTCAACAAGAGTTCGATCCCCACCCCAGAAGTGACCCACATGGTGCGGCAGACCTCTCCTGACCTGCCCGCTGCTGCCCTCAGCAGTGTGCTGTGAGCTTTGTCAATCTGCCTGTTCTTCCCCTCACTCTGTCTCTGGTGAATCCTCTCACCCACTACACCTCTGGCCTGTACCCCAGTTCTGTATGCATAAATAAATAAATCTTTAAAAAAGAAAAAAGTAAAAGATGGGTCAAATAAAGAAAGACGCCATTCCGGTCAATAAAGGCAGCTCTAGTGGCGGCTCTCACTGCTTTCAATTTGGTTATGCTCTCCGCTTCTCTATCAGCAGCATCCCTTCAGTTTAAGCAACCTAGGTTTTTGTCACCCCTACAAGAGGCTACTAAGGGGACATGAGCTGGGAACATGGGTGACAGCAGGGTCAGGAATAATTATTGTCAAATACTCTGCATGGAGAACTGCAGATGTGGGAGTCTTGCTTCTTGAGAAATAGGTTCTGGCTGTAAATTTCCTCTGCCTTCTCCTGTGGCAGGGTATACTAGAGGAACGCAGGGGTGGGGTCACAACCTCGCCCTGTCCCTGGACTCCACAGCTGTGTTCTCTAGGCTCTCTGGGGTCTATTTCCATACCAAGTGCCCCTTACTGAAGATGGGGCTGGGTCCTGCTTGCCAAAGAGTTACTACTGAGCAAATTAACTGGCAAGAAGAACAGACCTGTAAAAAAGGTGATTAATATACTTAAAAACAGCAATTAAGATCCCTTATTTTAACTAGAGCTCTGAACTATTATCACAGAGAAAAATATTAAATACTTTTATATAATACCAACATGGATAAAAAAGTTCTTTCATCTCCCTCAGTGGCAGATTTTCTGACTATTTCTGAAAGAACTGAAATCATCTTCCATGCAGTTATTTATATTGCATTGTGAAAAGGTGGTCAAAGTTACACTAGCTCTCACTTTATAGTTGAGGAAACTGATTGCTTAAACTGAAGGGATTGCTTAAACTTTGAGGGAACCACAGACATTGCCTCTGAGGGCTGGGAATCCTCTTGAACTTAATGTGGGCTCAGGTTGTGCTTCTGTAGTCTCTTTTTCTTTTGCCTACAAAAATCTGACATGCACACAGAGAAAATGCCGTAGCTTTGAGAAGTTTTATCGATTACTTTCTATGACTATTTATGAAATATGACCTTGAACATAGCTGCTTGTGGTTCTCCCAGCTCATAGAAGGGTGGCTTCCCGGTGGCCATCTCGATGATCGTGCAGCCCAGAGACCAAATGTCTGCTGCTTTCCCATAGCCTCTTGGTCCTTTATCTATTATTTCTGGTGCCATATACTGAAGGGTACCTGGAAATCATTCAAACACAGTTACACTTTAAAACGAAGACAGATGAATATTGGCATTTCGTTTCTCTGCAGCAGTAAGCCAACTTTAAAAGCACAGTTTGGCTCTTAAGGTCTTACTTTTTTTTTTTTTTTGAGATCCATTTTTCTCTGCTGTTAATAAAAGTAGAAACAGCAAGTTTTGTAATGGAGTTTTATCAATGACATGAAAACAGCTTACTGATATTACCTGGCTATGAATAGATGATTTCTCATTTCCTAAGTGGAGTATAATTGAGGCATTGTTAACAAACTTCTAAAAATTAGTCATTTGAGAACAGAGGATACATCAATATACACTTTCTGTGATCAATTTTCCAAATACATGGAGACTGTTATGATGTACTAAGTAAACTTTTCCAGGAAAAACAGATTATTCACTTATTTCCTTAGATTATGCTTCTCCATTCCTTTGGCTTTCATTCTCACTTTTTCATCAGGAATGCATAAAGATTCTGAATGCTGTGGTTTAAAATTATGTAAACAATGTTAGAGTGTTTTATTCTGTAAGTCAAATACATGCGGCTCCTGTGGTGTGCCTGTGGTCCACAGAGTAACAGGTTTGAGCTGTGAGAGCAATCACCAGACAGGGAATGAACATGAGTAAAGTGAAGAAGAGATTTAGAAGGCTGTGTGGAATCAGAGTTGAAGAAGGATGTTTAGTAGAATGAAAAGAGCATTACACAGGGACCCAGGAGCCTTTGGTTCTAGTTCTAGACCACAGCTGTTTCACTGGCTCAAACAGGGGGCTGGAGCAGAACTTCTAATACTCCCTGGAATGATTTCTCAAAGCCCAATAATGAATCGGAATTCAAACAGGAGCAGATTACTGACACATCTGACGGGCTTGTGCAAATGATTCAATCAGGAAACAGGAGCCTCTCCAAGAGGTCGTACTGAATTCACATCCAGAGGCACTTGTAAAAAGGCAGTATTTTCTGATTCATAAGCAAAGTGACAAACAACCTTTTATGAATGCTTTCATGCATGGTTTAAAGGTAAAAAGTGCTACTACACAAAATTCCTCTAAACTGTTCCTCTGAATACCATGATTATAGGTCAGAAATTGGCTGCTAATCACAAAAGTGCATTATTTTCATCAAGTATTTTCATCTTGCCAGGTTTCCCTCCGACCTCCTCATCAAATGGCAGTAGCTCATGTTCCTCTTCACTACAACTGCACAGTCTGCTCTCAGCTTGGCTGGCCACATTATTGGCAGAAAATATTCCGCTTGGCAAAGGATGAGGTAACCACGCCCCTCAACTCACCTATGCTTACGGAAACACTGGAGTTTCTCTTCCTTTATAGTGTCCTCCAAAGTGATCACTTTTCTTGATATAAACAGAATCAAGTGGGTTTTTTTTTAAGATTTATTTTATTTGTGCATACAGAATTGGGGTATGGGCCAGAGGTGCAGGGGTGGAGAGGCGCTTCACCAGAGACAGAGTGGGGAGCAGAACAGGCAGACTGACGAAGTACACTGCTGAGGGGAGCAGCGGGCGGGTCAGGAGAGGTCTGCCACGCCATGTGGTCACCTCTGGGGCAGGTGGGGATCGAACTCATGCGGAAGTGGATTTAGCTTCTTAGTGCTGTGCTTTAACCTGCTGCATCACCAGGGAGGGCCTCAAGTGGTATTTTTAAAAATATGTGTGGAAGTTTAGCATGTTAATTTGTTGTCTTTAAAGCAGAGGTGATGAGAAAACTTTAATTAGGTGAGTTATAACTGATCAAAAATACAGTGGATTAAAAAATTGGACAATTCAAGTAACAGCTTAACAATTATGCAATGTTTTTATTCATCAGACAATATTTCAAATGAGCACTATCTGGTAATTGTGTTCAATTATCCCCATAAAGAAAATTCAAAAAAACCCCTGAACAGGCTCAGTCATGTGTTCATAGCTGCTCCTCTCTTTACTCACAAACACATGCCAGATGACTGTTTACATAAAGAGGTTTACAGAAGTGGGTAGTGAAGATATAAGTCAATTTGAATATTAGCCCCAGGGAAGCAAGTGAGAGTGCTTTAACTGTAAAACTTATATATCTTTATTTCAAAGTTAAAAAAAGCTACTTAAAAAAATCCACTTCAGAATTTCTTTGCCATTGCAACCACCCGAGTAGGAGGTACAGCTTAGTGGCTGAAATGTAAACTTGTGATGTCAGCCTAGGGGCACAAGAATGAAATTATAAGCAAAAGTAAGGAGGCCCTTGGGAGGCACAAGGGGTCAGGAAGAAATACTGCAAGCTGGTCACAAATGCTTCAGTGCAAGTTGGATCCCTGCCCCAGAGCTGACCCACATGGCCCAGCAAACCTCTCCTGTCTCGCCTGCTGCTCCCCTCAGCAGTGTACTTCGTCAGTCGGCATGTTCTGCTCCCCCACTTTGTCTCTGGTGAATGTTCTCACCTTCCCTGCACCTCTGGCCTGTACCCCAGTTCTGTATGCATAATTAAATAAATCTTTAAAAAAATAAATAAGTAAATTATATAGCATGTTAGAAAGTGATGTGTGATGACTTAAAGAGAACAGAGAAAGAGGATCGAGAGTGCCCCAATATTACTATGTAAGTGGGGTGGGGTGGCTGGAGAGGGCCTCTGGGCGAAGACTTGCATGCAGAAGGAGAGGGGATTATGCAGGCATTGGCTGGAAAAGTATGAGCATCAGAAGAAAGTACGTGCACAGGCCCCCCGCAGCAGGATTCTGCCTGGAGGGGTATAGGAAATAAAAGCAGGCTCATGATTCTGGCACATGGTGAGCATGGGCAGAGGAGAAAGGAACAGATCTAAAAGGTACTGCTCTAGGTCAGGCCAAAGCCTTGCCCCCAGCTGCATGGACTGTGGTGTTTATTTACTCCGAAAGAAAACTACTGCAGTCTCGGTGATTAGGATTTATGTCTAAAAAGGATCTCTCAGACTGTGGTTTTGAAAAATAGACAGTAGGGGGCGAAGCAGGAAGTGGCTACGGAATTAATGAAGAGAGAAAGGTGGCAGCAGTGATGTACTCAGCAGTGATACTCAACAGAGCAAGGTGAGGAAAAGAGGCGGTTTTGGAGACATGTTGAAGGTGGGCTTAGAGGATTCCTTGATGGATAGGGGGCTGGAATGTGGGAAAGGGAGGCATGGTGGATAACCCTAAGTTTGGAAGGGTTATCAACTGAGACAGGAAGAGTGTGGGTGGAACAGGTTTGGGGAGAAAAGATTTAATTCTATTTGGCATGTTAAGTCAAGCTGGAATTACAATTCCATTGCATATTAGCTCTCTGGGCTCAGGCAAGTTGTTTAACCTCTTCGCACCTTCATTTTCCCACCATAAACTGGGGTAAAGATACCTAAGGATTAAGGTTGATGTGTGAATGTCAATGAGATAACATGTGTAAAGGACTTAAAACAGTCAGCCATGTAGTAAGCATTTCAGAAATGATGGTCCCTATGGCCTTCCCTGTTATCGAATTAGTAACAGGTGAATCAAAACAAGGGCTATCACCTCAGGCCCTGAAGAAGATGATGAAGCAGCTGCGACTTGGCTAGTGCTGCGGTGAGTAGACCTTGGGCCCCAGGAATCACAGTGGCAGACGGAATAAAGCACATTAGTGACAGACGCCTCTCTCACGTGAGCCATTGCAAGAGGTTCAGGAGGGCAGCTTTACTGTATCTTACTGGGGGTGGGGAATCTTAATCCCCCCCCCAAAAAAGTGTTTCAAGATCAGAATATATTAAATTAATATTGTCCAAATAATGTGACAGTAGGGATTTCCCCTGCAGAAATTACTGAGTCTCAGTAGCATCTAACATGTCTCCTGCCAAGTTGAGACAGTATGAAGAAACATAAAGATGTTTAAACTTACTAGGAGGCTGGAGTTTATTTTGTTGAAACAAAACAAAACCAAAAAGCATTCAGAATGTATTTACTTCTGGGCTCTGAGGACTTTCATTGCTGTGTGAATGTTCTAAGATGAAAACTTACCAAATTTCCCTCTCTCCCCATCATAGGCTACCAGAACAGATAATTAGCAAGGAGGAGAGGATGATGGACTTGAGAAGGTAAAAGCAAACAGTAAAGGGTAGGTTCAATATCTGGGTTTATCATTTACAAACTGCTGTGACTTGGGTGTGCTGTGTCTCGTCTCTCCATTTCCTTAATGGCAGAAGAGGGGTACTGCTACCTCCCTCATAGAGTTCAGAAATGGGGACATCTGGCCATTTTTGCTATATGTTAGATGACAGATTACTCATTATCTTTTCTAGCTATTTTTTTCTGGTAATAAAACCCAGAACAGGCAGGATGATGTGATAAGAACAGGGAGGGGAAGCCAGTGCTGAAGATTCGGATGCCTCTCTGCCTCCTGGACAGACATCCATTTCTCTGTGCCTCAGTTTCTTGATGGCTACTGTTCCCTTTTTGGAAATTACTCAGTCTCCACCCTCTCAGGACTTTGCTCTAGAGGCAGTCCTGGCACTGGGTTGCCTAATTTCTCAGACAAGCTCTCTCTTCACCCCACTTCTGAGCTGGTGAGTCACTTCCTCTTTCTGAATTGAAATCCTATGGTTATTTATGTTGTGAGCAGAGGAATACATCACAGAGAGTAAATAGACTAGGAAAGAGGGAAATCACAGTCCAATGGGAAGTGATTAAGGTATGATGAAGAATCACGAAGGGGTTGGACTAAAGAAATACTAAAAAAAAAGTCTTGTCAGGGTTATAGTACAAGTGGGAGAGAACAATGACATGAAAAGAAAAACAAGTAACAAACTGAAAGCTTCAGAAAAAAACCTCAATAGTATTAAGAGACTGTGCAAGTTATATAAATACAGAATGAGGAATGAGAACAGGCCTAGATCAAAATCTATAGAGCATATTTCAGTGAGCATCAACAGATAGCAACATTCATGTCTGTGAGAACACAGACTACACTTATCTCTCACACTATGCTCAAATGCAGCAATTATTTCTCTAATTACAAAAGATCTGTATCATCATTGCAAAAACATACCCGTAAAAGTTTCAGTACATGGATTTATGCCAGCAAGCCTCTTTGATGTTCCAAAGTCAGAGATCTTGAGGACACCACTGTAGGTATTAATCAACACATTGTCACCCTAGAGAACAGAGGATTTTAATTAAAAAAATGTTATCTTTTTTCCAATACTGTTTTTTTTTTGACTTGCAAGTTTAATGAGAAAAGACATCTTTAGAGCAAGCAAGGACTCTAATTTTATACTCTTATTTAATAGTTCCTCTCAGTAGCAAATTCTTGACACCATTTTTGTTTACACATTATCAGATGTTTAGTATCTGCTACTCAGGTCACAGGTCAAACACTGTTTCTAATTAGAACTTGTAGTTTAAGCTAGGAGAGGCTATTGTGATATGTACGAGAAATTGAGTATGATACTCTTAAGTTCCCAGTCACTTTACATTCTTTTCTAAGTTGTTTTATTTCTTGTTCTGGAACATTTAGGGACAGCACAAATAAATGGACTTTTGCAGTGCGTTAGGAGTGGTTAACATTAACTTATTTTCAGTAGCTCAGTGTTGGTTAGAAATAGGTTATGCTTGAGTTTTTTCTTTTCTTTTTTTTTTTTTTAGATTTATTTATTTATTCGTACAGAACTGGGGTACAGGCCAGAGATGCGGAGGGTGAGAGGATTCACCAGAGACAGAGTGGGGAGCAGAACAGGCAGACTGACGAAGTACACTGCTGAGGGGAGCAGCGGGCAGGTCAGCAGAGGTCTGCCGCGCCATGTGGTCACCTCCGGGGCAGGCAGGGATCGAACTCATGCGGAAGTGCCTTTAGTTTCTCAGTGCAGTGCTTTAACCCGCTGCGCCATCAGGGAGGGCCTGAGTTTTTTCTTTTTAAAGAAAATCTGATAAGTTTTTTCTGTTCAATCTACCTACATGTGATACTCATGAGAACGGCGAGATTGTATTTTTCTTCATTCCCACCATGCATCCACTAATTCCGTAAGTATTTATTGAGTAGCTATTCACAAGGATACATGGAGCCTGTAAGCTCCATATCCTATTCAACTTTGACCTACTGTGCCCGCAGCCCCTCAGTTGACTAAAACGGTGGCAGACAGGTAATGAAACTCGGTCTGCTGGTTGAATATGGTAAAGGAGTTTGTTCCTTAACAGAAGAGGTCAGAAATGAATCTTAGTAACTAATTCAAGGCAGAGAGCCATCTTGTATTTCTGCTATTTCTAAGATTTTATTCACCATTTAAATGATCATTTAGACTTTTATTTAGACAACATGACTTTTACAAATAAAACAATTATCCACTAAGGCACGTAAGGAAAATGAGTCCCAATACATTTTACCTTGATATCCCGGTGAACTATCTGATTGTCATGGAGGTACTTTAATCCTTCCAGTATCTGCTTTGTATAAAAACCAATTGTTTGCTCATTGTCTTTCAGAGGGCCCCATTTGGAACGAAGGAGAGCAGAAAGACTGCCTGTAAAGCAGGGCAAAAGAGTAAAATTTTATTCAAGTAAGTTCTTTAAAGCACTTTATAAAACTGACGTAGGCTAACATTTATGAGGTTGTCACACTGGCCTAAGGGCTGTACTGGACACTTGGGCTCAAATGTGAATTTAAATTCTGAAGATAATCATCAAACATAGTCATAATAAAAACAGACTCATTGGGTAACCTTAATTCAAATCACAATAATACTAAGGGATAGAGTGTGTGATCCTAAAATATACCACTTTAGTATGGAGTAATCTTAAGACAACTAAGACCCAAAGATCAGGAAGAGTTTTGATATTCCTCATTTCTGCTAATAGAATTTTGATAGAGGGTCTCTTCCAGGAAGGAAGTATCACCACTGGGTAATACAGTTCAAGAGGTTGGGGGTGGTAGATTGGGAAGAACCTGGCAGAGTCTGTTTGTTAAAATTTCTCGTCCTATTGTCTTTAGCCTGGCCAGCAAACATATACACCAAATATGCGATAGTTCATCTTCTTGTGACTTGCCTTTCTTCCTTTTGAAGGCCCTTACTCTCTTTCTCTGAATGAGATCTGAATGAGCTATATTATTTATGCTATTTATATACATCTTTGGAATTTTTAATGTGTATGTAAAGTCTCTGGAGGTACCTAATTACATTTTTTTTCTCCTGTTAATCTTTCTGATATTTGTTTGACTCTTGAACCAGCCAAGGAGAACCAAGGGTGGAAGGTGGAAATTTCTCCTCTCTGACAATATTAAAATAGTTTGGCAATTTATTTGGCTCCTAATAAACTGTAAGGTAACGTGACATGCTTAAATTTTCTTTTAAATTCCACCAGTTTACTCTTCTTCAAGACTCTAGACATTTATATTTTTTAAAGAAAGAAAAATATCTCTTACCTCCTGGGACCTGCTCCATAAAGATTTTAATGAAACCATTTTCACTGAAAGAGCCCAGATATTGGACAATATTTTTGTGCTTCAGATGTTTATGCAATGCTATTTCTTCATGGAGAGGCTGGGAGTATCTAAAAAGACATAAAAATGTCAATGGGCTAATTACATCTCCAGACTTTAGTCTACATATTTAAGCAATGCAAACTGAAAATGTCAACTTAAAAAAATACTCATATGTATAAAATAAAATTTAAGGCCCTTTTTTCTTACAGCATAAATTCTGTGATGTTGAAACCACGACAGAAGTGTTTAGTCACTACTCTAAGCCTTCGGTACTTAAATGTATTAGCTCACTTCTCACAATAACCTCATGATAAGATATTATTTATATGCTTACCTTACAGCTAAGGCAATTGCCCAACATCTCAAAGCTAGTAAATAAAAGAGCCAACATTTGTAACCAAGAAAATTGTAATTACCCATATGACTTACTTTCTTCAATAACATGACTTTCTGTTCCATTGATGTCATAACCTAACTTTATTATTCTAAGACTATTACCCAGGAAGACAGAAAGTGCAAATAACTTTAATGTTAGTTCTAGAACTTCATACAGATCATCTCTTCAACAAAAACACAAAATCACATCTCAAATCTTCTTAAGGCCTTTGCTTTAAAATCTTCATCTTACCAGCAACTCTATTTTTCTTTTCTTCTTTTTTGTGCAATCCTAACCAATTACTACCCTTGAAAGATCAGCTTTAAACCAGACTTTAAAATCATATACTTGGTATATGCTGCTTTATCAAAATATAAAATGAAAGTAGTTTATATTTCTGGAATAACAGAATATACTTCTGACAATTATTTGAAGTACTATAATGCTGGTAAGCTTTTAACAACCCTGAATAAAAGGTAACTCCACTACAATTGTATAACTAATTATGGAAGGGTGTCAGCAGTCACAAAGTACAACTCAATGCTATTCATTAAACTTTGTTCTTTTGTACACTGAAGACTGCAGATGCGAAACACAAACCAGGTGCCTCATACTTGCTTTATTCCTACACACAAAAATTGCTGAGAATTTGTAAATTTAAATCAACAGAATGGATTTTTTTAATGCCAATAACAAATACTAGAATTAGGTAACACTGAATAATACTATTTTCATGGAGTTTTTCTAGGATAAACTAGCAAGTTAAATAATCAGCAGATTGTGGCTCTCCCTGGTGGCGCAGCGGGTTAAAGCACAGCACTAAGAAGCTTAAGCCATTTCCGCATGAGTTCGATCCCCGCCTGCCCCGGAGGTGACCTCTCCTGGCCTGCCTTCTGCTCCCCTCAGCAGTGTACTTCGTCCATCTGCCTGTTCTGCTCCCCACTCTGTCCCTGGTGAATCCTCTCACCCTCCACATCTCTGGCCGGTACCCCAGTCCTGTATAAGTAAATAAATCTTTAAAAAAATAATAAAAATTAGCAGATTGTAAACATTTTTAGTTTAAACAAACTTATGATCTGAAACAGTACTCAGAAAGTTGTCAAATAATTGATTTGATGGGCCTTTCTCGTGGTGCCAGGGGTTAAGTTTCAGCACTAAGAAGCTAACTGCAGCCACTGCAGCATGAGTTTGATCCCCAGGCAGGGAGTTGATTCATATGATACAGACCTCTCCTGTCTCACCTACTGCTCCCTTCAGCAGTGTATTTCAGGAGATCTTCCTGTTCCGTTGCCCTTTCTGTCTCTGGTGAATCCTCTAACCAACCCCCTGCACCTCTGGCCCACATCCCAGCTCTTATACGCATAAGTAAACAAATCTTTAAAAAATTCACTTGTATTTTAGATCTTTCATTCATTTCATTTTTCTTTATACTTGTTCTAAGAATTACAAAGGCGAGTATTAAATTGAACCTATTAAAAGGTTATCCATTGGGAGAGTAATATCATTTGATAATTACTTGAATGAGTTAAATGAAAACACTAATCTAAATGTTACCAGGAAGACACTTAGGTAATGACCCTCAACTCTGAAGCCATTTACAAGCTTCTTTCCCCAAGGGATTCAAACATTTTCACGTTAGTGCAACAATGCTCTTGATACTCATGAGATAAACCAGTGGAAAATATCTGGGCCTCTTCTACAGATTTAGGACATTAAAACAGCTGAGCAATCTGAAGCAAGCTACTAACTCAGTTTCTGATGAACAAAAGGAATCCCACCTACTGACCCTCTATTAAAAATCAGTAATGAATGCTGAAAAGTAAGATCCTGAGGCAGTAAAAACACTACCTCCACCTGTTATGTAACTCCAGGATAATGCAAAAGCTGCACTAACAGTCAGGATTCTTCTTAACTGAGAATAAAAACTCTCCTCCAACATGGAAGTCATTACTAACATCCAATAATTTTCACTAAGCATGTAAGTGCCGAGCCCTGAATAACCACAAAACTATGCTTTATGAATGTGAAGGAAACACAGAAGAAACTGTTTTGTTGCCATGATCCTCACCACAGATGGCAACAGCTAGTGCATGCTGGGTCATGCATTATTCACATCCCTCCTGTTACCTTACAAGGATCCTTTCTGACTGCTGTCTTTTTTTTTTTAAAGATTGATTTTTGCATATAAGAACTGGGGTGTAGGCCAGAGGTGGGGGCAGGGGGTGAGAGGATTCACCAGAGACAGAGTGGAGAGCAGAACAGGCAGATTAACCAAAACACACTGCTGCGGGGAGCAGTGGAGTGGGTGAGACAAGAGAGATCTGCTGTGCCTTCTGGGACAGCTCCCTGCCTAGGGATCAAACTCAAGCTGAGTGGCTGGCAAGAGGTTGATAGCACTGTCTTTAGCCCCTGCACCACCAGGGAGGCCCTGCCATCTTTTTTTTTTTTTTTTTTTTTTTAAAGATTTATTTATTTGTGTATATAGAACTGGGGTACAGGCCAGAGGCTCAGGGGTGGCAAGAGGCTTCACCAAAGGCAGAGTGGGGAGCAGAACAGGCAGATCCACGAAGTACACTGCTGAGGGGAGCAGCGGGCGGGTCAGGAGAGGTCTGCAGACCCATGTGGTCACCTCCAGGGCAGGCAGGAATAGAACTCATGAGGAAGTGGCTTCAGATTCTCAGTGCTGTGCTTTAACCCGCTGCGCCACCAGGGAGGGCCTTTTTTTTTTTTTTTTTAAAGATTTATTTATTTGTGTATATAGAACTGGGGTACAGGCCAGAGGCTCAGGGGTGGCAAGAGGCTTCACCAAAGGCAGAGTGGGGAGCAGAAGAGGCAGATCGATGGAAGTACACTGCTGAGGGGAGCAGCGGGCGGGTCAGGAGAGGTCTGCAGACCCATGTGGTCACCTCCAGGGCAGGCAGGAATAGAACTCATGCAGAAGCGACTTTAGATTCTCAGTGTTGTGCTTTAACCCGATGTGCCACCATGGAGGGCCCCCTGCCGTCTTTTTTAATCAAACATCAAATCTCTCCAGGGCACAAAGATGGAAATACCTTTGTATTGCATCTCATAACAACAAGATAGATAACGTGATAGACTCTATTGTTATCTTAACATTGGTAACAAGGATACCCCAAACCTCTGCCTATTCCAGAGAAGAGATATTCATGCAAGTGTTTTGAAACCACTCACATGATTACAGTGCACGGGAGCAGGATCTTTGTCATGCTGGTGCACTTGGTGTGTGCCCAGTGGTAGTTAAGTGAATGGAAGCTACACAGTGATTTTATTTTTCTTAATATAATTGTTAATGTATTACCATTGGTTTCGACCATGATCTAATTACAGTTACACCACGGGGATGCAGTTACACACCTTGTTGTGTGTCTATACCAACACCACATCCAAAACTGTGATGTTTATACGACGTTTTCTTCCTCGTGCTCATTTAAATTCATCAACATTAATGAGCTCAGCTGTAGCAATCTCATAAGAAAAATTGTGTCTCCAATATTTTTTGTTGTTTCAAAGGCTAGTCTTAACTACAAATTAGGAACCTATGGGGAGGGACATTTAGCAACAATTTTAATGTGATAAATTTATATATGCTACTTTAGGTATTGAATGAATTTCTATTAACTATTTCATGAGAATTCATAAATATGTCTTATTTTTGAGAGAAAATTGCAGCAATATCACAGAAAATACAAACTGGAACCATACAGGAGACACATAGCAAGAGTTGTTTGCCTACCTACTCTCTGTTCTTGTCTCCATGGCTTTGTTTAAAGAGAAAAGTGAAAACACTGGTGAGTTTCTAACTTCCCTGGTAGTTATGGCTACTTACTTTTGGCCAATGAACAAATATAAAAATATGCCAAACATCTCTGGGTAAGTTTGTTTTCTGTTTTCTTTACACATGAAATGCAGACACAGAGGCTGGAAACACATGGTCCCCCTGAAAGTCAATACTAAGTAGTTGGGACCTAAGACACTGGTTGTATGGAAGAAGGTGAATTATCAGCTTGCTGTCATTAGAGAAGACTGCTCTGAAGGCCTAACATCTGAATTGAGACCTCAATGATGAACGTGAGGCACCGCTGCCAGACTCTCTACTCCTCAGAAGTCCTGTCCTGTTTCCCAGAGATGCCTCCCTCCCCATTGATCTGCCTGAACCACTAAATGACGTAACAGCAATCAGCCCCAGAGGAGCTAATTAAAGCAATGACATTTTTAGACAGTTTCATTAATCAGATCACAACCAAATTACTTTCTAAGATATTATTAACAACCCCAAATAGCTTAGAAAACAGCTTTTATTAGCCACAATGACTGTACCTGCTATCTCTCTCTGGGATTTCCTTGATAGCGATTCTGACTTGGTTGCTTAGGTCGCGACCTGCATAAACTATGCCGTAAGTGCCTTTTCCTAAAACGACTCTGTCACCATTTTCATCATATTCATAGTCATACTACAAAAGGAAACATGGGGAGAGAAGATCGACATGTCAGTTGCACTCTACATTTTAAACATCAATATTTTTCAAGAACATTTTTTTCTTATTTTACCAAATGGCTTTAACAAGTGGAACAATAAGATGTTTTAAGAAGCAGTTTCAAAATCCAAAAGGCAGGCTGTCTCAAAATAAAGCATATAGTGTGTCTGTTTTCATGACTCTTCTGAACATGTAGGGAATTATGTACTTAAATCCATAAAAGGGCGCCTCCCATGTCTACTTAAAAATCCTATTTTTCAATGATTCTGGATGAATATGATTAACATCAAGTCTATCAATGTCTAGCACATCTAAATAAGATTTCATTTGTTTTTCAACTTTTGAAATATGCGAAGTAGTTCACATTCTGACAGGAGGAATAAACCACTGAAAGTCTTTGGGTTAGAAGAATATCAAAGTCTTAAAGGTTTATGATGACAAGCTAAGTATTTTTTTACTTTATGACTATTTTCCTAAGACTTTTTTTTTTTTTAAATGAGAGGGAGAATTTCATGTTTGATGTTTAAGGGAATTATCTATAGTCTAAACCCCAAACTGTCAAGCATACCAGTCAAAAAGAAAATTAGATCAATATGAAAAAGGGATAGAGAGCACTTGCAAGAGGCTGCTTCAGGCCTGGAGACATCATCTAGAAATACACACCCTTTATGTTGGAGTCAAGCCACACAATCAAGCACTGTCTCTGAAAACTGTAAAGCTACTATTCAGCAGACGAGAATAGAGAATATGTGTCTTCTATTGTCTGCGCTTTAAGTACAAAACTGGGAGCCAGAGGTAGATTCACAGAAAGGTTTGGTTGACCATTGGAAGCAACTGATTTCTAACATCGAAAAGCCAATATATTTAACATTAATAGTGAAAATAACCCACAAAAAGGATAGTGATCATGGCTGTTTATACTCAAAACATAGTCTTAAAGCAGAGTTGATAAAATGACAAAGAAAAATAGACAAATATAATCACAGTGGGTTTTAATAGAATCCTTAAAAATTGGTACAGCAAACAAATCTATAAAATATGAAGTTAAAAGATTAGACTGTACGGCCCTCCCTGGTGGCGCAGCAGGTTAAAGCACAGCACTAAGAAGCTAATGCCACTTCCGCATGAGTTCGATTCCCGCCTGCCCTGGAGGTGACCACATGGCGTGGCAGACCTCTCCGGACCCTCCCGCTGCTCCCCTCAGCAGTGTACTTCGTAGATCTGCCTGTTCTGCTCCTCACTCTGTCTCTGGTGAAGCCTCTCGCCACCCCTGAGCCTCTGGCCTGTACCCCAGTTCTGTATGCACAAATAAATAAATCTTTAAAAAAAAAAAAGATTAGAATGCAAAAGGAAACAGTGGTTCCAAGGTAATCAGATTCCTTTGAAACGGTGCATATTCTTCACTTGAGAGGTCACTGCTGTGAAGGATGAGAGGCGTGTCATTACCAGCTCCAATTTATGTGTCTCTAATAGGTTCCCAAGTCTTGACAGAAGCAACCAGGTTGCAGTCTCTCAGGGGAGAGCTGCATCCAGTAGCATACTGGGACAGCATGAGCACTGACCTCTTATAGCGGATCTGCTCTGCTAAGGACAGGACCAAGCTCTGGCAGGGGATATCTACGTTTCCAGTGGTGACCCTGCACACCCATTTCTAGGTACCTTGATTCACTAGGTAATACTTCTTCTCAGGCTGCCTAATGTAGAACAGAGATTGTCCTAGTCTAGAGTAGAAGACAGCCATTTCCAGGGTAAAGGAAGAAGGGCAGGAATCACCGAACAATTTCCCCAGACTAGGAGATAAAGCCAGGCTCCAGTAGCATTACTATACAGTCTAACAATGCCAGCAGTAGGAACCCAACTCCCCACACTCAATTCCTGTCTGGATTTCCACCATGCTGTGCCATCCATGATGGAAATTTACCAGCCAAGACCAGGCCAATAAGAGGCTGCAGAGGGCCAGTACCTAAGTAGCTCATCTGTGTCAATGCCTCCTATGAAAGGAACAGGAACCTCTACCCGGAGCCTAGTTCTGGCATCACCATACACTGCTATAAGAAGTTAAAAAAAATAAAAAATAAAAGCTAGCTCATAGTAGGGAAGATCTATGACTAACTTCAGTTTATAAATGATCAGAAATATCTCTTCCAGTGAAAGTATTTTAGAACTGTGGCTTAAATTCAGCTTACAAGATCCCAGATTTTTTGTTCTTCATACTGTTTCCAAACACTGGCACTGTAAAAGTGTTCTAGCATTCTGTTAACGTCCACTGGACACCCATTCATCTGTTCAAGCTGACATCTGGCAGACCCGCAGCCTCTGTACTCTTTTTACTCCACACAAAGTGATTGCCAAATGCAGACAGGTTTACTCTCACCTGCTGTTGGCTCAGGTCCGGGCCACCCTGCTATCCTCCTCTCCTGCCCTGACTCCTTCAGCATCTGTCACTCCTCCTCTTTCAGCAATCCAAGCATAAGCTCAGCTCTTTGAAAACCAGGACTTTAGTTGCTCTGCCCCTTGTCTTCACAATCTCTCTGAGTTGTCGTGCTCAGTAGTGATCTACTGAGTTAGTCCAGCATATAAAGTTGATGAGAAACTTTTTAAAATATAGGTGCCAAAAGGGCCTCCCTACTGGCACGGGGATTAAAGTCTCAGTGCTATCAAGTTATCCCTAGCCACTGCAGTATGAGTTCAATCCCCAGGCAGGGAGCTAACCTGTATGACACAGCAGACCTCTCCTGTCTCACTGCTGCTCCCCTCGGCAGTGTATTTCAGTAAATCTGCCTGTTCTGCTCTCTACTCTGTCTCTGGTGAATCCTTTCACCACTCCTAACTTTGGTCTACATCCCAGCTCTTGTATGCATAAATAAATCTTAAAAAAAAAAAATAGGTGCCAAACAAAACATTCAAAGTCAGTATCGGCTTATCTTTGGTTGAAAGGAATGTTGCCACAGCTGTATTTATACAACACAAAAATGAATATGTAAGTTTTAAGGAAGCCCCTTAAGTTTAAGTTCTCCTCAGTAATCTAAAGCATTGAAAGGCGATTCTTCTTTAAAGGATTATTCATGAGGTATGGAAGTTGACTTCTGACAACAAAGTGGTCACAGTAAAATTCATAAGGACCTTTGGTAATACCAAGGCGACTGAGCTCACTCCACTGAGTAACTGCTGCTTGGGTTCTTTTAATCTCTTCTTTCTATTCTTATAAGATAGAGATATAAACTGAAATGTCAGGATTGAGACCACCCTGCTCTCTAAGGGCAGAGAATTATCTGTGTGATAGCCAGATAAAGTGAAAAGAAGTTTGGGCCAAGGACTAAGAGGAGGCAAGGTCTATAAAATGTCAAACATGGAGAAAAAGGGGGGTGGGTAGGTAGGTGGAGTGTTTCAAAAAATAAAAAGTAAGAGTATACTGCTTATATATATTGTATTCTATTTCTATGGCAATAGGGTAGCAAACCAGGTTGTTGCTAGGGGAAACAAGTGCATTTTGAAGCAATGATGGGAATACTTCTAGAATCATCTTCTATTGTTGCCTGCCCACCGCAGTCTAAACTGGTACTGGGAAAAGAATGAGTGCAGGATGACAATACTGACAAGGCCAAACAAAGTGGTGATTCACTGAGTCCTTGCTCTGTCAAGGGACCTCTAGTAACAACCACATTCTCAAAAGCCACAAACTTCCCATGGCACTTAATCACCCAGGGTGACTGGTCACCATGAGGACCCAAAGCTTTGTTAATTTCCAGTCTGCATTGCCTTCTTAACACATAAATGCTAAAAACATTAATCACTACTGTTGGCTTCATAGAATACTAATAAAGCTGCAGGCACAAAGCTGTAGATCTAATTTGCTAGATCTCTCTTCTCTCTGATTTTTATCAAATATCCCCCTCTTTGTCTAAAATTGTACACACCATTTCCCTGTAATTTGCTAAACCCTTCACTGTCTTACTTATTCCTTAAAACTGATCATTGTTGGGCTCTTCCTGGTGGCACAATGGGTTAAAGCACTGCATTATGAAGCTTTCAGATGCCACTGCAGCATGAATTCGATCCCGGCCAGGGAGCTGACCCATAGACCTCTCCTGACCTGCCTGCTGCTCCCCTCAGCAGTGTATTTCATCATTCAGCCTGTTCTGCTCCCCACTATTTCTCTGGTGAATCCTCTCACTGTCCCTGCACCTCTAACCTGTACTCTAGTTCTGTATGAATAAATAAATCTTTAAAAAAAAAAAAACTCATCATTGTCAAACACATGATATATTTTAGCTATTTATGTTGTTTCTTGTTCATTTCTTAATAAATTATGCTCAATGAGAACAGAGATTTTTCTACATGTTGTTATATCTCTAGTACCAACCACTTTTCTCTAAAAAACAAGTGTTGAGTGAATGGATGGGATCCGTTTGGATCCACCAACAGGGGCGTGAAGATAATTTTAAGCCAAAAACAACTGAATAAATAATAGGAAAAAAAACAAAACAAAACACTACCTAAACAATTTTTTTCTGACTTCCAAAAAAATACAGCTCCCATTATACATTCTTAGGACCATTTGTATGTGAATGAGAAATTACATAATAAAACCTTGTCAAAATGTTCCTCATGGATTCCTTACAATTTGCTTCCTCTTGAAGTCCTATCCTCTCACTGCCCCTGTGGCTCTGGCCTGTGCTCCAGTTCTTTAAAAAAAGGACTTTCCTTATTAGGATTAAATTATTGTTATTATTATTTTACATTTTAAAAATTATTATTTTTACATTATTTTACATTTTAAAAGGACAGACTTATTAGGGAAAGAAGAAAAAAAAAAGAGGTACCCAAATAGGCAAAAGTGGGCAGGAGAACTGCTTGAGATAAATTCTTAACTGTAGCTATTCAACTGCCACTTTGCTGGGTTGCTACCATATGCATGGATAAACTTTATTTTCTCCTGTTAATCTGTTTTCTGTCAGTAAATTTGTAGGTCTCTA